TGATGCAGAAGGACTGCAAATTCAAGCCCAGCCTAGGGTACTTATGAGGACTTCTCAAAATAAAAAGTGTTAGAGAGAACTCCCCTATCCTACGTTCCATCCCATATGGCAAGAAGAAAAAAAAAAAATGTCAGATTGGTACTGTGGGACAATATCTGAGTTCTTAATTTCTGTCCATCTGTGTATATCTGTCAGTCCTACACTATCTTGTCCCCATGGCTACATAATAAGCCTTGCAATCAGGTAGACTGATTCCTTATGCTTTGCTCCTTTTTTTCAAAATCGTTTGAGGTACCCTAGTTCCTTTGCTTTGCCATATAAATTTTACTTGTTTGTTTATTTATTGCAGCACTGGAGATTGAACCCAGGGCTTTTGCACTGAGCTACATCATCAGCATTTTATATGTTTTAGTTTGTCACTCAGTTGCCTAGATTAGATTCAAACTTTGTAGATCTTCCTGCCTCAACCTCCCAGAGTCCTGGATTACAGGTGTGTCTACTCACCTGGCTCATTTAGACTTGTAACTTTCCTTCATCAGTGTTTTGTAGTTTCCTATATAGTGGTCTCGTCTGTGTGTGTTAGAGTCACAGTGAAGCCTTTCCTCCTAATGAAGAGTAGCAAGTGGTGCTATAGTCCAATTTCCATGGCTGCTGTATGGAACACAAAGACACTTGCTGCTCACATCCTACAGCTTGTCAGGCTCACATGCAGTCCTAAGGGTTATGCTGGAGATTCCTCAGACTCTTCCACATCAACCATCCTGTACAGCAGGTGGACACAGTCCTCACTCTTCTCTTGACCCGTCCCACTTCAGCCTCCTCTTCTTGCTGTGTGCATTGGCTGAGATGCCCAGTGCCTAGCTGAATACTTAGCCAGGACCATCTGTTCCTGATCTGGGAGCCAGCTTGCAGATGTTCTTTACAAACTGAGGACATTCTCTATCCCTAGTTTTATCATGAATGTGCCTTGATTTTTGTCACATGCTTTTCCTGTGTCAGTTGATATAACCATGTGGTATTTCTTCTTGTCCTGCAGATAAGATACATTACATTGATTGGTTCTTAAATACTGAACTAACCCATATCTCTGTAATAAATCATGTTGGTTGTAGTAAATGATCCTTTTTTAATTTTAAAAAGAATAAAGCCAAACAAAATAAAACAGAATAAAGCCAATTAAAAAATGAAAGTGATATAGGACTTCAAAACAAAATAGGAAGTCAACAGTGACTACCATAATGCCTCTTGTTATCTTCAAAATAGCTGCCTATACCGTCAGACATAACAGAAAAAATCAAACAAAATCAAGCAATGAAAATGACATAGGACTTAAAAACAAAATAATAGGAAATTAACAATGGCTACCATAATACCTTTTGCTATCTTTGAAATAGTTGTCCAGACCATTAGACATAGGGATATAAAATCAACCAATCAAAACAACCAACCAGTCAATACAAGATCTGAGTTGCTTTTTTACTTCAGTTCTATCTTTTCAGAAGTTTCAGGTATGTGACTTCTAATTTCTATTATGTCTATGGCTCCTGAACTTGTTCTGTGTGGGCCAGAGGTCTGAGATTGTGTTCTGCTTCTTCATCTTGACATTTTCCTGTGTTTCTCCAAATCAGCTCTTTGTTGCATCCTGAGTGCTTCCTGCATTTGCTGCCAGTCCCTCAGTGTAGGCGACTCCACTAGGTACCTGGGTTCCTCCAATGTAGTGTTCCTGGTGTTATGGAGATGCACAGGGTGGTGGCTTACTGATGCTCCCCCCAGTGGGACCTGAGGGCTGGCTTCTTCTCCAGGCTCACAGGGAGTTCACCAAATCTCTTCAGGACACTAGCATGGGGCATTAGGGCATAACTTCTTCCTATTAAGTCTAGATTGGTCCTATTAAGTCTAGATTTGGCTCAGCTCTGATATTACTTTGCTGACTCTCTGTCTAGTCGGTACATCTCTTGGTGACAGTAGAGTATCAAGGTCTCCCATTACAACTGTGTTATTGCTTATTTGATTTTCCATGTCTATCAATAATTGTCTTATATAGTTGGGTGCTCCTGTATTAGATGCATATATATTTTATGATTATTATGGCATTTATACTGTCTCCGGGTGTCTCATTGCTCACTGACCACAGTCAACCTTATGTTGTTCTTCTTTGCTTTATTTTGTAGCTGTTGGATTGATTTCTCATGGTCTCTTGCTATTTTTAAGATGGCTTTCCTTTCATGATCATTACCTGCAATTCTGTTTAAGATCTGAAATTCTATCCTTTCTTTTATTTAATTTGTTGCATATATTTTCAATAGAGGATTTAATCTACCAGATCTCTTTTTGTATCTGTTTCATGAAACCTATGTTGGGCATTTTTTTTGTTTCCATCTTTTTCAAAGCTCGTCTGTTATTTGTGTCTTCTCTAATATCTTTAACTGTAAGCATCATTTCTTTTTGTACCTGAGAAATCATTTTCCCTATACTCTTTTCCATTTGTGTTTTCACTTCGGTTGTCATTTCAGAGAATTCCAGTGTTTGGCTTCCACCTTCATCCATCTTGTTGAGTTGAAGGCCTGTCTGGGGTGGGCTGGGGGGCTGGGGCCTCACCGCACATCTGAATCTTGCTGCTCTCCACCTTTTTTTTTTTTCCTTTTGTCTTCTATGTTGTGCCTAATCTCCCGTGATATATAGCTGTACCACTATTGAGGCCTCTCTCAAGGAGGAAAAGAGATATCCATTCCTCAGGTATGTCTTCTAGATGTAGCTGGTTCTCTATACCTATCCCAAGAATCTACCTTCTTCTGGTCTTTATAGTTCTATAATAATGTCCGTGTTGCATCCCAGAAATGTGCTGGGTGTGAAGCCAATCTTGGCCTCTGGATGTGGAGGCTGGGACTGGTCATCTTGGTCTGTGGAATTCTCCAGAGTCCAACTGCTGTCTTCTCACTGCTGCTTCACATGCTTACACATTACTGGCTGTGCTGAGCTGTTGTCCTGGGTCTTGGGGTTCTCACAGGTCTTACACTCTTCCAGCTGGCCCACCCTCCAGTATACAATGGAGAAGGCCCTGATTGCAAACTCACTGTCTTCTAGCCGGCCTGCCCTCCAGAATGTAATCAAAATGATCCTTTTATATATATCCTCAAACCAGATTTTTATATCTATATTTATGAAATGTATTCATGTGTAGTTTTCTGTTTTTCCTTTGGTACTATTTTTATCTAATTTGGGTTATCAGGATACTACTAGCTTCATAGAATAAACTGGGATGTGTTTCCTCCTCTTTAATTTTTCTGGAAAAATTTTGCAGGATTGCTGGTAACTCTTAAGTGTTCAACAGAGTTGCTGAGACTTTCCTTAAACTGTGCCAGTGCCACGAAGTTCTGGGAAAAGGAGCTCTAGCTCTCTGGGACTACCAAAGTTTCTGGAAGAGGGTTGTCCTCACAGGGTCTTAGAACATGCAGACTCCATCAGCACACACCATGAAGGTTCAGGCTGTTTGGTAAAGGAGCATTATATACACTTCAGTATCCTTGCATTGTTTGACTAAAGTGTCATTATTCAATTTCTTTAAAAAATGGTTTTTTATTCTCCCTCTTCCAAAGTGCTTTCTGCTACAAAGTAGCTGACTGTTTGAACCTCTCACCCCCTCCCTTCAGTGAGGAGCCACTGCTGCTAGTGTTAGCTGGCAGCACTGGCATAAGCTCTAGGCCTTGAGATGCCAGGGCCCCCACGCCAGATCTGCCAGCTTTTGTGACACCATGGTGCCCACAGATGGGGTGCAGGTGGCAACAGACAGGAGCCTGAAGAAGTTAGTACTTCCCCCCGTTGCTTCCTTCTGTTTGGCTAACGGCAGATACCCCTAGGCACCCCCACCCTCACGTCCAGTTTCCATCCCAGTGATCCTGTTTCTATGTAGGCAGAGTGGGAGAGAAGTAGCACACCCTGTGAGCATGAGGTCTCAGGTCCAGGCATAGGATGTTCCCAAACCCTGCATGCTCCTAAGATGTCACCTGCTCAGCCCTCTGGGAGGTGGCAGGCAGGAAACAGATGGAGCACTCTAACTAGCCCATTGGTTTGGTTAGTAAAATGAATGTATTGGACATTCTCCTGAAACGTTCAGGGTGATTCCTGTGGTCTTGGATGCCTAGCCCTTATTTTTAAGACTGATTCTCACTGCCTGGGGAGGTTTGGTGGCCAGGCAACCACATCCCATCCCCGTGCCTTCTGTCCTCTGTGGGACCTCCACGTCTGCCACTTGCAGATGACCTCATGACTGTACCCTCTTCTGTGGTCTCTACTCAGTGGTCACCTGCAGTGCTATTTCCAGACTTCCATCCTCCCAACCACTGGCAACTGCAAAGAATAAGCCTATACTTCCTCTATTGCTTCCTCCCTATTCCTAACATTTCAGCCTCAGCATTCTCTCAGGGGATGGGCATTTTCCTCTTTATATTCCCCACAACACACTCAACACTTCAGACATTATCCAGTGTACAGGATGTGCTGTCCTATAGCATCCAATATACAGCACCTAGAACAGTACCTGGCATATAGGGCAGTCTTGGAGCATCTAGTGTACCTAGGATGGTGTACACTGTATAGCAGTTGCTTCACAGATGTATGATATGAGGACAGTACATGTCTCTCATGTATCCCTCTTCCTGATAGCACCTGCTACTTGCCTAAAAAAAGGGGCTCCAGGGATTGAACCCAGAACTCTTACAGTATGCTACATCCTAATGAAGCCCAGGCTGTGTGGACCCATAGTCGGTGGTGGGAGACCTCCCTCTTGGCCATACCCTCACCACCTTCAGGGCTGTGCTAGGTACCACTTCTCCCAGGGACAAGCTGGAGGCACCTAACAGAAAGAGCTCCTGCCCAATACCACAGGCTCTGCTTATGGCTTGGTAGGGGGACAGCACCATTCTGCAAACCAGTCACGAAGCAAAGAAGGGCTCTGAAAAGGAACACTGGCTGTTACCTGCCTCACCTTCCGCAAGCCTCAGCGTTTTAGTCTGTCAAATGTGGACTGCAGGGTGGTTGGGAGCATGGGATGGGGGTAGGAGGAAAACCCCATGCGCTGTGTCTCCTTGTCAGTGCCCTGCCCATTCCATCGGGCTGCACCCTCTTGCCAACCAGCTGAACCCCACCCCTCTGTCAGGTCCCCAGAATGACCCATTGAGCAGGAAGGAGACAAGAGCTGGCAGGTGCTGGCAGGTTGCCAAAGGGTGCGTGGGAGTTAGCATTAGCAGGTCAACACCAGATCTGTTAGGACTCAAGATCTAGGTTTATAAACATTCCTGAGCACTGGTCTCCCTGTCAATAAAAGCGTTTCTGCTATCTACATGGAATTGACCAGATACCACCTTGGCCTCTGCCAATCAATGTAGGGAGGCCTCCAGGACCCAGAGTGTCCCTGCACTGAATAGGCCTCCCTATGTGGGCTGGCCCCAGGTAGTGCTGAAGGGACAAAGGGGAAAACCACAAGAAATCCTAGCTGAAAGGAAAGATATCTTGGAGCTGGCGGCGGGACAATCATGCCCATCACACCATGGGGGAGGGGACCTGGAAGAGGAAGTACACTGACTCCTCCTCTCCCATCTAGTGCTGAGGCCCACAGGGGATCTGGAAGGCTTCTGGTGGCCCCTGGAAAATAAACTAAGTCGCAGTCCAGACATGTGGTTGTGCAATGAGGAAAATGCACTGTGACACCTTTGTGTGTCCAGTAAACATTTACTGAGCATCTGCTTTTTGCTGGTGTCACCCCAGCAGTGTTGCGGCCCCTACAAGTGTGCCTGTAGGATGCAGCTGGGACACTTTGGGAAGCCCAGTCTCGCCTGGGCTCACCATGGGAACAGGCGATGGGGGTCTGCACTTCCTACCAAGCAAAAGCAGGTGATGCAATGCGGGGTACAGCCACTGGCCTGCACCCGGCAAAGCAGCATCAATAAATGAATCAGAAAGCTGCAGCAAGGGACGCCCAGTGATCCGCCACCTTCCCCATGCCGGCGCCCGAGGCCTCGCGCGCCGCAGTACAGAGATCGCCACGTGCAGCGACAGACTCCGCCTACGCGCCCCACCCCGCCCATCTCCAAGGGCGAGGGCGCGGGCGCGCTTGCGTCACTGCCCAGCCGGCTGGATCTGGTTCCAGCCGAGCAGTCGGTCTGACCTGCGCAATGCTTACGCGCTGCGGCGGGCTGTGGGCCGGGTGAGAGGGTGCCGGGTTCGTGTGGGGGTCCCGGCTGCCTTCCCCGGAAGACGCCCACCAGCCGGGACGCGGAGGTCAGTGTTTACCGGTAGGAGGGAGAGAGGGAGGAGGCGGGGGCCTTGTGCTTCCTATCCTGACCCGCCCCGCCCCGCGCCGACAGGTGGCCCGGCGACCCCGAGCGGTGGCCGCAACGCCGGCGCCCAGTAGCCCGGATTCCCCCGCGCCCCCTACTACGTCCCTTGGATTGCCAGGTCCTCTTCGGAGATGGGGTTCCCCACCTCCCACCCCAGGCCTTCCTGCCTCTGGCAGACTCGTCCCAAAACGCTACGAGACGTTAGCTGGATTGCTTTTGAAAGTATTTGGCATTGAGTAACTCATGTAATTTGGCAGCATGATTTTTCTCATTGACCACGTACTCCCAAAGTTCTTGTAGACTGAGAAAAACACTAACTCACGTATATCTTTTTAAGTGAAGACTGATTTTTACAATGGAATTGATAACAGTGAATGGTATAGACATTTAAAGAAGCACTTACTTTTATTTCTGCTGTTGTCTTACTTCGGCGCCATGTTTTGTTTTGTTTTCCCATAGCTTAAACTTTTTGCAGATCTTTGAGCAGTTTGTGGCCCTGGTACGGTGCCTGCAGGACTCAAAAAGCCAAGAGGATCTCTCTCCAGGTGCTCCCCGTACAGTCGGTGTGAAGGTGGAAGGGGAAAGGGGCTCCCCAGATGAGAACCCGAGTGTAGGTGTTTTTCAGTGTGTACTCATCTTCAAGCATTTTTAAAAACACCAGGCACCAAGCTGGGTAGGAGAGGCAGAGCTAGGAGCTGCAAGGTTGAAGCAGGACAGCACATTAGAAAGTCTTATCACACAAAGTTGCTTTTTTTTTCACTTCTCTCCTGGGGATACCGTGGAGACCTTGTGTTCTGTGCAGACTGACCCTGGAGCTGATCCATGACTTGGGTGACTTTGCACTTTTGTAATAGGTTTTTCAAATGTTAAGAATCTGGTTTGCATTTAAATGGTAAAATCACCATGGACAAATTAGGAACAACTGTCAGCTAATTTCTTGCAAGTTGTTGAGAAATATGTTTTCTGCGTGGTAAATGTAATTTATAACCCTGCACTGCCCTTGCTGGCCATGAAGCTAGGGCTGTGTTTGCACTTTTTTTTTTTTTTTTTTTTTTTGAGACAGGGTCTCACTGTGCAGTTTAAACTGGCTGTGAGTTCACTTTGTAACCCAGACTAGTCTTGAACTTGCAGCAGTCCTCCTGCCTCAGCCTCCTACTAAGATGACAGGTGTGCGCCACCATGCCCGGCTTGCACTTTAAAAACAAATATAGCCTTGGACTCCTGGTTACTCATCTGCTTCCACAGATGAAGGCAGATTTGAATTTTAATAGCTAGGAAGGAAGCAGTCTTAGCCAGAGAACTGCAGATCAAAGAGGCCTTCTATTAACACATAGTAACATATCTGTGTGTGTGACCTTTGCCTTCCAACCCAGTTATCCCGTGTACCTAAAAGTCATGACCATGTACCTAAAAGTCATCCACCATGCAGAATTCAGCTAGGCTCCTGATCTGCATCAGCCCCACAGTAACCAAAAAAATGATGAGAGACTTGTGCACCATCAAACAATGTCCATATGCTTAAAATCAAATCAGCCTGTCCAACACAAGTAAACAAAGCTGTTACATCAAAGAAAAAAGCCCAAGCCAAGGGATGTGTTTATCTTCCAAAGGACTACACCAGAATTCTAGGAGGCATTAGAGTGGTGGTAGATAGCCAGCGTAGGTAGCAGGTGTGGGGCAGGAAGGTGTCTGTGGCCTAAATATATAAAGTTCGGTGCCTGCTTCAGAGATGTCTCCCTGGGAGGTAGCCCTGTGGTTTCTCTGCAGGAGTTTGAAGTGCCAGAGAAGGGTCTATGAGTGCACTTGACCAGAGCCAGAAAGGAGCCTTCTGGTTTAGGCAGTGACCTGTGCCAGAAACTAGCTGGTGGAAGCTTCAGGAGAGTCCCATGCAGCCTTTGCAGGTTCCAACTAACTGAATCCTCAGCTCCACCCCAGAGATGTGGTCTCCAAGTAGATGTGCTGCCAGAGACAATAGTCACCAAGTTGCTTCTTGGTGGGCTGAAAATGGGCCTGTTAAACACATACTGACAGGGTCAGGCTGTACCTTCCTGGCCTCTGTTGTTCTTTTCAATGTGTTCTGTGGTCTCAGCATAGCAGAGAGCTGTAACCCAAGTCTCTCTCTGCTGTGAGCCCTTTCCCTGCCCTGCAGGGCTCCCTGCAACAGTCTACTAAAACACTGTGAGTCAGGGCCAAAGCAGCACCTCCCCTGACTCATCTCCTTCCCCAAACCTGTATCAACTCCCCACACCCACCAGATCCTCTGCTGTCTCGGAACTTGGCCTTCCTGGCAGCCCAGCCCTCCAGTGCTTGTCCTTGGGAATCTGTGCAACAGAGATTAAACTCCTTTGTGATGTGACACACTGCAGGCTTTGAACTAGTGGGCCCACCTGGGTGGCTGCGCCCCAGGGGCTGCCACTGAATGGTGCCAGGCTTCTCCAGCCAAGCGAGAGGTAAGCTATAGCAGAGGGGTGCCTAGTGGGGCTGATAAAGCAGAAGACCAAAGGCCGTGTATTTTGCCTGACCTCCGGTTTTTGTCCCTATCTACATACACACACACCAGGGTTTTTGCTCCTTGTATCTCACTTCTTCCTCTGAGGCATGAGTTCCCAGGATGGGGACTGATATGCAGAGATGTTGAAAAATTGGTGGACAGCCTGTTGAGATGTTAAAATGGGCTCGATTAAAAGCTTCTATCTAAGAACTTTGTTTCTAGAAACTGGATGTGGTCTTTGTAAAACATGCGTTTCTTTCCCTACACATCTTGTAGCTGGAGGGTCTGCTGCCTGTGAACCAGGGAGTAGAAACCAGAGACATTATTAGTACAGATGCCTATGGAGGCCCATAGCGTTTACCCCTTAACCTTTAACCTGCTATTTAATGAACTGCCTCACACCACAGATTTTCATTTTAATCTGTAGGTTAAAGAGCAAGGGTAAGAAGTTTTCTACTGTTCTGGCGAAGTTTGATACTGGTGCTTGTGGCTGCCACATCTTGTACCCACAGTGGTTTCCTAGTGTTTTGTGACAGACACAGGCTGCTGGCACATGCAGCTTAACACAGGCAGTATTCAGAAGCTGTGGGAGGCTCTGTGCTGCTGGGTGCATTTACCTGTGTGGAGCCTCTGTTCCAGAGGTAGGACCATGCAGTCAGTTCTCAGTTCTAGCCCAGGAGACAGGTACCACTGACAGCTGAGATAGTGGGCTTTTAACAAGAATGTCTGTGCAAGGGCCCTGTCCTGGTCTCATCCTCTTGAAATCTCCATTTCTTTCTCTGTAGAATGAGGAAGAGGGCTGACAGGAGTCCAAGGCTTTGCATTTCTGGGAAGAGTGTCCAGCAGCTTTCATCATGTTCTCCCAGGCCCAGGTGGGAGGAGGCTAAATGAAGACCACAAAACTAGGATGCATAGAAAGACTCCATGTAGAAGAGCCTGGCTTCCCAAGGATATCGTATATGGTGTTGGCCTGGGACTGTGGACTTTCAACCTGGGTCAGGAAGTTTTAGCCTGGATAAAGTAAACATACCTGTTTTCACCTTCAAGAGACATGTGGCATTTCTTTCTACTGTGACCGCAATGGACAGCAGTGGCCTGGGCAGGACTTAGGCTGAATGGTGGAAGCACAGAGGCTTCCTGTCTATCGCAACTGGGAACATCTCACTGTCCTCAGTTCCATTTCCCAGATATGGAACCTTTGACCTGAGGCTTGGTTTTGTCATTTGATGTGTTGACGAAGTACAGGTATCACTGGGACTGTGGTATTTTTTGTGGGCTGATAATAAGTACAGTTTGTATGTAAGTGTATCTCCATGTTCTGCTTTATGTAATTATTTTGGTTTGTCTTGGGGTTTTTGGCAGTACTGGGAATTGAACTGAGGGCCTCACACATGCTATGCAAGTGCTCTTCCACTAAACTGCATCCCTAGCCCCTGCTTTGTGCATTTAGAAATGTCATTCCAGGAAGGGTCCCTAGGCAGTGTCATCCCTTTGGTCACAGCTGGGCTGCAGCAGGAGAGCTGGCCCTAAGCCCCCATGGTGACCTGGATGGGTGGCCGCCCTCCCTGTCCTCCAGGAGCTCACGTATGCCTGCTTGTGAGCGCCTCGATGACAGAGCCGGCGTCCGCCTCTGTGTCTGCAGCCTCTCATGGCAGCATCCTTGAGTGGCCATACTGGTGCTCAAAAGTTGCTCCGTTTGTGATCAGGATGTCTTAGGATGGGAGAGCAGGCAGTAGTGAGGAAGGAGCCAGACAACGCTCACATCCTAGTTCAGTCAGATACTACTATGTTGGAAGGTTGGGAGAAGCAGGGTCGGAAGAATTTAGGGATGTGTGTATTTATTAATAATTCTAATCAAGTCTGTCATGTATGTCTCATCATTAAAAGGACCCCATGACCCCTTCAGTCATGGCCCTGGTCCCAGGCAGGATTCTTGAACAGGATCTTTCCATGTGCCTTCAGATGTTACTGTGGGAAGAATCCAGCATAGGTTGTCCCTGGATGACATTGCACACCCACCTACGTTTCTATAATTGTCTCAATAAAAGGCTTAATTTTTTAAAGTCTCCTTTTGTTTTCCACTGTTTTCAGGAAGAGAGTGTGTGAGTTACCCTCTTGAAGTCTGAATAATTGGGGTAATAAGACTGATTAAGGTCTAGAAGAGGTGATCAAAAATATGGTGAATATTTTTTAAATGTATTACAGTAAAAGACATCACCATTAATTCCCTCAAAATATTCCACACCCTCATGCTTCAAACACACTTATCCTATACTTCTTACCACTTTCCAAAGCAATTCTGAAAATCCTGTTTGTGAGTGTCTTTATGAGTTGTGATCAGAAATACAGTGAATACTGCTGCCAGTGCCATCCAGTGGAAAGGCAGGCTTGTAAAAACATGCTGTGTGCCCTTCTCTGTTTCATTCATCAGATCTGGCATCATGCAGTTGCTATCTGTTCTCCAAAGTCACAATGACCATAAAAGGTAAGCATTTTCAATCAGAACTTCAAGGAAGCCATTACAATGCAAGTAAAGACACTCAGCAAAGAAGACATCCAGAACTACTTTAGAAAGTGGCAAGAGTGACAGGATGAGAATGTTTGAAGTGAGGGGGAATATTTGGAGGGGCAGTAATGGCCATGTATCTTTAATAGCCTTTTTTAAAACAAGGATTCACCAGATTTTTCATTTGCCCCTTATGTAAACTGGGACAGAATCTCTGATCATGCCCGCTGTTTGAGGGACAAGTGGTTAGCTCATCCCTTCCAGCCTGTGCATGGACTGTGTGGGGAGGTGGGAGCAAAGAGCTTCCTAGTCTAGGGTGTGATGTAGGTGGATGAGGACAAGCTCCTCAAGACCTGAACTGGCAGTACTGCTATAGTCACCAGTGCCTGCTTACAGAGAGGAAATCGGCTGCCTTGATTCTAGGCAGGGCTTCTATTCTCCCCTCTTAAGGTAACTGTCACCTGGGTCATCTGTACACGATGACCACGGTGCCCTTTGGTGTTGATGCACAGGTCCCAGTGATAACTGCCCAGTGCCTCCAGGGCAGGACTTGGGTTGAGTGATACAATCAAGGCATAAGTACTGTACTTGGGCTGTGTGTCTTGCCATTGATGAGACACAACTCTGTCCTCTAAATGATTGAGTGTATGACCCACCCTCCCCTTAGCCACCCTGTCACCCAAGATGGAGAGGAAGGTGAGGGCCCTGTGCCCCAGCTCACTGTTGCCCAGGAAGGCTGCACTTCCAACATGACTTGGCTGACAGCAGTCATGAATGCACTTCATTCAGCCCTCTGGTTCAGTGGAGCTGGTTGACTATAAAGCAGGTTATGTCCTGTGGGACTCCTGGGCACTGGCTCTGAGGAACTCTGCTTCAGGACCCCTCACTCCTCCTCATCTGCCACCACAGCTCAGCTTTGGTTCTAGGGACAGATTGGTTCCCAAACTGAAGGCCTGACAGCTCCCCTGGGGTCTTGACTATACTGCAGGCCCATTGTCAAAGTAGCACCGCAGTGGCTGCCACCAAGGGGTGGACTTCGTAGATGGAGGTGGGGCATATCAGACTCTCAGTTGAATTGTCTGTAAACCCATTGCTGCTAAAGTTCAGTCCCTTCACAATGGTGAACATACCTGGAGAACACGAAAGTACAGGAAAGACACTGTCCTGGGTCCCATAGGAGTGGGCTGTGCTGTCCCCTTTGCTGCCCCCACTCCCCATCCCTCAGGTCAAGATCTGGCTTTACCTACGGGTTTCTGGAATCCCTACTCTTTCTCCTGTTCCCTCAGTGGCACACCAAGGCTCTTGTACGCTGTGAGCTGGTGTGCATGCCTTCCTCTACACCCATCCCCATCCAGTGTTCCTGAGCTCTGGCATGGCCAGGAAGGAGGACACAACCTTGGCTTTGTGCACATCTTCCTGCTCAGGTCATAGGGCTAAGCAGAAAAGGGCCAAGTAAAAGTTCTTGGTTAATTGTATTCTTCATCTTCCTATTGTTGCCATATGAGACCAGTTATCCATGCTGGCAAGTCCAGGGCAAGGAAAAAGCCTCCCGAAGGAAAGAGATGGTGTGTTCCTAGCCCATTACAGCCCCTCTGACTTGTTGGGGATTCTAGGGGTCAAGTGGAGGCAAGAGACCCCCAGAAGTGCTGAGGGAGAAGGCTCTGTGATCCCCAGGTGGGGTTGTGCCTGCTGGGCATGAGAAGGAGAAGCCCCTGCCACTTTGCCCAGCGCTGCCCCCAATAGAACTCACACAGGTCTCACAGAGATCTCCCTGCTGTAGAGACACTGGAAGCCCTGCTTAGGGCTTCTGTTTGAGCAGAAACTGGAAATACAAGGGATCCATCCCAGGCCACTGCTGTGCCTGATCCTGGTTGAGGCATTCTCCGCCACCCTCTGTAATTCCAAGGATGTTCCACCAACGCAGCTGACAAGTGGGTGCTCAAAACCTCACATAGGGACTGTGGGCTGGTACAGTCTGAATGGTCCACATGGTCCTCTCCATGTCTCCTCACCCACACAGTCACCAACAAATCCAACTAATGGAGGCTGGGCCCAGCAGTTCTTTGCTTGGAAGGCCAGGACATCACAACCTGGGCCTGGCAGCTTCCTTCTCTCCATTCTGCACAGAAGAGGGTTCTGGAAAGGATAATGGGCCCTTTCTCTGCTCAGTGGTTCTGCCTCCACATGCAGCTTCTTTAGACTTCCCTGAAGCCTAGTCAGCAGGCGGCCAGGGCATGCTGCCATCCTATAACCTGGGTCTGGTGTACCCCAGCCCTGAATGCCTCCCCACAGACCCCAAGGCTTCATAGCGGTCAGACTTCATCCAGGGCACCTGGCACCCTCCACTAAGCCTGCAAAGAAATGGCCAAGAACCTTGAGTGCCACTCTGGCCTGTACTCCCCTGTGTATGCCCATCCACCATGCCATGACATGAGAGGGCAAAAAGCCCAGATACCAGGATATCCAGCTCAAAAACAGATCATGCGGAAGTGCACTGGGAAAGATATTGGTCTTGGGTTGTGGGGCCACCCAAGGCAGGCTTCCAGGAGCGTAAGGCGTATCTTCTTTGCAGATGCCCTCAGCATGGACTCTTAGGCAGACACAGATATAGAATACAAGTTTTGCAGGCCAACAATAACCCAGGCTCTATGTAGACACCAAAGCACAGGGAGGCAACAGGTGCAGAACTCCCCCCATCTACATGTGGGGAGGCCAGGTCAGCTGGGGTCCCTGACCATTCAGCTGGACTCCCTGTTGAGACAAAGGATGTGGATCTGTGGGTGGACATGGCAAGTACTGGCTTCACCTCTGAGGTTCTGTGTCATGTGTGGGTCATGACCAGCGTGCTCAGAAGTCCAACATCTGTCTCAAGTACCCCATCTTCCTGTGATGCCTGTCCCTTTTCTAGGGACACCAACTTCCATGTGCCCATCTGTGATTCTCATCCACTCTGGGGCGCAGCTGGTGCCTCCAAGAGCCCATATCGTAGAGCCTGAGCTAGAACATGTCCTGTGTATGGAGTGGCATTGTTTCTTCCACTTATCCTCCTCAGCTCAGCACTGCCCTGGTCTGTGACATTGTGAGCACAGATACCAGGAGAGTAAGCTCAGGCCCCCTAGTAGTATCGCCTCCACCCACCCAGGTGCCTCCCTGAAAGGCCTCGGGAGGGAGTTGTCCATGTAGCTCTGGCTTTGATCCAGCCAGCCTGCCTTTCCTAGTAAAACCTCTGCTCCCTGGAACTGGAGAAGAAGAAGGTTAAGTTCAGGTAGAACGATGAACAAAGGTGGGATGGTTAAGATCCCTCTAGGTAGTTCAGGCTGGCCTTGAACTTGCAGTGATCCTTCTGTCTCAACCTCCCTAGTCCTGAGACAACAGATGTGTGCCACAACATCCAGCATGGAAAGATGACTTGCTCTAGACAAACAGGATGGCATACGCATGTACTAGGATTTCAAGTTCAAAGCCAGCCTGGGCAATTTAGCAAAACCCATCTCAAAATTTAAAAAGGTGGAGGGGGTGGAGCTGAGACTGTACCTCAGTGTGAGCGTACCCCTCGGCTCAATCTTTAGTACTGGGGTGAGGGGTGGGAGCCCTGAGGCTAAGCATCCTTGACCTTAGCCTCAGCCACTGAGGCTGCTTCCAGGATAGTGGGCTGTGGGGAGGATCATGATCAGTCTCTGGAGCCTTTCTCAGTTCCCACAGCAACCTGACCAGCCCTGCTCAGCAGCACACCCCCCACACCAAATTGCTTGGACCAGAGCCACTGGCTTCCCCAGCCCTAAGGATGTGGGGTTCCTGCTGCATGGCCCAGCCCCTCCTACAGGGCAAAGGTGGAGAAGACAAGATGGGCTCTGGGGGTGTCTACAGGGTAAGACCCAGCCCACCTACCCAGCCAGCATATTCCTGCCATGCCACTGTCTCTACAGACTTGGGTTCACTGTTGTCTTTCAAGAAAAAAATCACAGAAATATTGCTTGCAGTCTAGACACAGCCCATGTCCCATGTCCCATGGTAATACGTAATTTGTGTATGGGATGGAGTGTTCACCAGAGGGAAGATCCCAGGGGAATCTCCATGGTTCTTGTCACCTGCTGGTCTGGGTGAGTGTGCCTAGATTTAGCCTGCCTGACAATAACAAAAACACCCACACCAGGGTACAGCTTTTGAGTGTCCAGGTGTATTTGTCATACTGTGGGACAGACACAGACGACACCTCCCAGATTCCCAAATGGGAACCTGTTCTTTTTCAGATCTGCTCCTTGAAGATCATGCCTGAGAGTTTCTGCCTGAGTTGCTTGCACGGGAACCTTTTCAAGTGAAATTAGGGCAGTCTCTCTTGCCAGGAGCTGCAGGACCGAGGGAGAGAGCTGGTTCACATGCTGGACAAGCGTATGCGGTGTGCCGTTTCCTCAGCACTAACCTTTCTGGGAGATTGGTCACCATGTTGCTCTCTGTTTCAAGGACCACTCTTTCCAGTCTGTACCTTTGGTTTCCTGGTTCATTATTGTTCACTTACTGCTTGTAGCCAGTATTTTTATTGCACTAACTGTTGATACAGGTTTCATTTTGAAATGCATTTTTAATCACCTACATGCTACATCACCTGACACAGGATAGTATGTGACGGCATCTGTGTTGTGAAGCATTCAGGCAGACACCCAGCATGGAGGCTGAGGTCCCAACTGCTGTCCCATGACCCTAAACTTCGTCAGCTAAAGTGGGTGTCTTGCTTGAGGTCCTCTTGCATGACAAATTGTTTTCTGCATTTGCTGTATGATCCCAAGGATTTCTAGCTGTGGAAGAGAAAATGCATTGCTGAAATTTTGGTTTTCATGTCACTTGTCTTTTTCATCAAAAGTAGAGACTGACACCACTGAGGTCAGTGCCAACAGAAACCACAGTCAGAGGCCTCTGCCGCACCTCACCTTCTCCTGTGGCTTCAGTCCAGAGCCACATGAAAAAGAGCCCTGGCCTACAGGGTGGACACAGGATTCTAACAGGGCTATTCGAGCAACCTAGGGTCCACATGTGAAGTAGGCAGGAGGCCTAGCCATAGGACTGAGGTGTGGTGTTCTTAGATCCTACTTTCCCCAAAATGTCACCCCCAGAATGGGGGCCTCACAGGCTTCACTGGGGGCTTGGATTCCTTTACAGTTTTCTATGTTAGTGCAGACTGTTTGCAAACCTTAAGTGAGATCACAGTGATTCACTAAGTTGCGACCTCCTGCTATGTGTGTGGGTCTCTGTGGAGGGGTAGGAATGCCTGCCTCTGGGGAACAGCAGCGCCTGGTCTGTGACTGTGTGTCCCTCAGTGTCTAGTGCTGCTCACCACGCTCCTCACGCGTGTGGTGCTCTGTCACTCACCTGTCACCTCAGAGTAGCTGAAATCTTCCACATCGTGGCAGTAGCCATGAGCAGATCTCATCCAGGCCAGGAACATCAGGCTGCCCAGTGTACACAGCAGACCTGGGGGTCCATGTGCACATGGCAGACAGAACTACTGCCTCCCTTGTCGCTCAGGCAAGGCCAAGGTTAGGAAACACAAATTTAAGCTCCTCCAACTTGCCCCCCCCCCCAGGCCCTCATACTGAGCCACGCTCTCCAGCCCTTTTTAATAGGATTGATTATCCTGGGGGTTGAGCCCAGGGCCTTTGTACTGAGCTACATCCCAAACCTGTTTTGTGTTTTGAGTTACGGACAGGATTTCTCTAACTCAGTCAAGGCCCTGGGCTTAAACTTGGTGATCTTTGTGCTTCACCCTCCTAAGTAGCTCGGATTACAGGTGTACACCACCACTCCTAGCAGGATTTGGCTTTTTGACAAGTGACCATTGACTCAGGAAAAGTGAGACCCCACTTCAAGTCCATCCCAGGACAGCTGGACATTTTTGCACAGAAATGGCATTGTGGCAACAGTGTCTGTTCTTAGTCTGCCCTGCCAACAGGGCCTTCTCTGCCTGCAGCAGCCAGAAAGCTGGCTGTTCTGAAGCAGCCTGGCTACCCAGTGCCACTGTGTCTTAAGGACAGTTTCTGGCTGGTGCCCAGGATGGGCAGTACTATCCCTCTGTAATCTTGACCCCCAGTGCATCTAGAGCTGGGCCAGTTAGTCCTGATGCCACAATGGGTACTTTCTGTGCCAGCGTTGCCACAGAACCCCTCAGCCCTGAGTAGGGCCTTACTGCTGGTCCAGGGATAGCGCCATGGGATAGAAGCATTTGCCTTTGCAGGCTGGTAAACTGGGCCACAACCATGTACTCAGAATGGCAGTTCCCCACACACACACACACACACACACACACCTTCTGTGGACCTCATAGGACTCAGGTAAACCACAGCTGGTGTGAGAGCTCAGAGGAGACCATGTTCCAACTGTTTCCTCCCCTCCCCCTGCCCCTTTCCTTTGAAGCCTTGGAGGCAGTGCACATGGGATCTAGCAGCTATGCCCACCCCCGGCAGGCTGCAGAAGTAGGGTTCAGGGTCCTTAAGGCCCTCACATAGTTCACACACAGCAAGATATACCTTGTTTATCTGGGAAAGGCAGAACTTTCAGTGACACCCATCAAAAGTCTCACATCCACTAGCTGTGCCCTCAGTGTGGTCCTGAGACGTGGCTCTTCTTGAGAGTGTACTTAGCTTCTTCAGGCTGGAGCTTGGGCACTGACCACTGCCAGAGGCCAAGAGCACAGCTAGTTTGAAGAAGGGGTACCGTAGCTTCTACACTGTATACCTGGTGCACAGTGCAGTCCTGTACTCTGGGCTTTCCAGGAACCCTGAGAGGAACAGGTAAAACCCGAGTCCCCATCTAGATCCCTTATGTGGGTGGCCTGGCCCTCACCATGCAACCCAGTGCTGCACCAGGCTCAGACCCCACTGTTTCTGCTCCCTCCATCTCTGTCTTGCCCTTGCCCTCTGGCATCTCTTCCTGTGGCTCCTTGTGAGGACTATATCCGTGTGCCTCTCTGGCTGTTCAGGTCCCTAGTAAATGTCCTTCCTGGAGGCACCTGGGCTCAGTGGTGTTGAAAGTCTACACACATTTCTCCAGACCCCTTTCTACCTGCTGGTCTCGCTCAAGGTATGGAAAAACAGCTGGTCGGAGGAGCCAGTTGGGTCATAACCAGAGAGACAAACTCCTCAAGAGGCTCAGTGACACCCTGTCATGCTCCTCCCCTTTTCCCTGAGCATCCAAAGGCCCCCATGGGGGTCCTGCATGGGTGCCAGGAGAGTGCTCTTTGAAGCAGAGGAGCCGGAGGGAGAGATGTCCTGGCAGTGGACATTCTGAGGGAACCCGCCAGGAGGAGGAACTCCTTCTGCCTCTTAGTTTTCTCCTAGGCCAGGGCTCAGAACCTGGCTGCATAGGGTGCTCCCCCTTCCTGGAAGTGCTAGGGTGGAGCACGCGGGCTCCTGGCCTAGTCACAGTAAACACTGATGTTCTGGTTTTTCCAGGAAAGATAAAGTGGGTGGACAGCTGCTGGAATGCTCTCAGCCCCTCTCCCAACCAGAGCAGCCTGACACCCATTTGGCACACTTGGATTCTCTGCCTCTTTTGCTCATAGAAGACCTGGGATGGGGGGCACACGCAGGGGACAACGGAAGTGCTTCCTGGCGCTGTGGCTAGGAGACAGTGCTTCAGGAGACCAGAGGCTGTCCCAGACACTTCCCTTCTTGTGTGGCTGTCACTGTGGCAACCCCTTGGGGATAGAGACCATGCCAGCCACCAGTGTGTCCCGCCTCACTGGCCACAAAGAGAGGCAGCAGGCGGACTCCTTAGGAATGCTGCCTTCTGCTGGCAACATGCAGTGACAGCACCAGGCTCTTTCAAGGAGGGGCTGGTCAGGCTGGATGACAGCCATCCCTGACTCTGCAGCCAGTTTGGGGGTGTGGGAAGAGGGCTTCATGGGCCTGTAGGGGGATCCGCTGAAGGTGAACTCAAGGGCGTGCAGTCAGCTCCAGCGAAGCCACAGCCTCTTCCCTGAAGCTCCTGTCCCTATCCTCACATAGTACTCTCCAACCCTGATCCCACAGCTGAGAGCCACTTGTGCAAGCCAGGCCAGTACTCAGGGATGGGCTCCTGGCATGGGGTGAAATACTGGGAAGCCTACAGCACACCCTTGCTGAGTCTAGTCCCCTAGTCTGACAAGTACTGTGCTTGACTTCCAGGGTGTAGCAGAAAGCGGGGTGCAGGACACAGACTCCCAGCTGTCCCCAGAGGAGAGGAGGATCCTGGAGAGGAAGCTAAAGAAGGAACGGAAGAAGGAGGCAAAGAAGCAGCTGCGAGAGGCAGGGGTCTCAGCAGTGCGGACTCCACCAGCCAAGCGCTCAGGTGCAGAGCTGGCCTTGGACTACCTCTCTGGGTAAGAATGTGCACACGCATGCAAGAGGGGCGGGGGTCATGGAGCCCCTAAGTACCCTTGTTCTTACATGGCGCCCTCAACCACCGTTGATCCCAGAAAGCTCCATAGAAGGAAAGGGGTTGTAGGGCCTGCAGTGGCCTCAGAAGTGGCCTTTCTCCAAAGGTTTGGCCTTGCTGGAAGTGGAGGAGGGGGACAGAGGTGAGGCTGGGGTCTGGAAACCAAGCCAGTGCTCGAGCAGCCAAGGTTTCAGACAACTCCGCTTCCAGATGCTCCCAGCCCACCGGCCAGACACAGCTGGGAAACTTTGGCTCAGCCCTATGGCTTCTCCATGGATTTTCAGTCCATACCCACAGCTGCAGTTCTGGTTGCACCTATGGCAGAGGACTGTCCCACCACAAGGGAAGTGCTGCCCATGGCAGGCCTCTCCTCCCCACCCCATGCTGACTCACTCTCCACGGGGAGATGCCAGGGGGAGAATGAGGAACGTGACACTGAGGAGAGGTGGACCCAGAGGTCTTGTGTCTGGTGTCCTGTGGAGCTACCCAGATGCAGGCAGTATGGTGGCGGGGTGGGGGTGGCTGGCGAGTACAGATCCCAGCTGGGAAGATGACAGCTGAAGGGCAGGCATCAGAGGCAGCCACACAAACATCGATGTGCTTAGCACAGCTGAACTACATTCTAGAAGACAGTAAGACATACATTTTATGTCACACGTGTCTCTAGTTAAACCCTTGGGCCTTGCTACTGGTTGAACATGACAAGTCCAGGTGACAAGTAACCAAAGTACAGCCCAAGAGAGGTCAGAGGAGCAGTTGCAAGGTGGCTGGGTGGTGCACAGTCACAGCTGTCTGTACTGCTGGCTGCATGTGGAGAGCATCTGTGTCCCCACTCCCACCAACTTGGTGAGCCCCAGAGCCTAGGTGAGGTGGCGCTGGGAATGTCCCCAGGAAGCTTCCTCAGGGGCGTGGGGCTGAGGGGGACTGGGGGCCACTGGAGGCTGCTCAAAGAAATGGGAGGAAGCCCACTGGTGTGTCTCTCCAGCGCTTTCTGCATCCTCCTGCGTATCTGGTCAGGAAATATTTATAAAGCCGCTCCTTTTGCACAGGGCAGGTGATGTAAGGCTTAGGGGTGGGGAGGCAACAGTAGAAGCCTGGCCCTGGGGTAAGGTCTGAGGGAGGAACTGGCTTCCTGTAACCCTGGGAAAAACCCACACAGGTGGGCTGCCTGCCCACCACCCAGTCAGACCAGCACTGTGTCCAGGGACCAGCAGGGACTCCCAAGGCTGCTCCCTCCTCTCCCCTCTCCCCTCTCCCCTCTCCCCTCTCCCCTCACTGCCAGCTTGATTCTCCCTGCATCCTGCCACTCGTCTTCCTCGAGGCTGATCCAGCAGGCTCTGCCCTGGACTCCTGCCCTCACCCAAAGGTACTGTTCCTAGGAGCATAAACTGAGGTAAAGCTTCGGTCTTGGGATCAGATTGCCGGCCAGACCTCTCTCTGGGTCACACAATGTCCCCAGGGCTCCAGGCAAGACAAGATTGGCTTGACCACGTGCCCTCACTGGTGCTGCATGGCCAGCAGGTGCAGAGGGGTGGCACATGCCTCCACCCAGAGCCCCCGACTATAGATGGTGTAGCCTTTTGGTCCCAGAGAAGATGGGTCAGGTGAGTCAGCAAGGACTGGCCCTCCCCTCTCCGAGTCTGTTTTCTGAAGCTAGAATTATGCTCTGAGTGCCTCTCCATCACCACTCATGTGCCCCAGCCCTGGGTCTCAGCCAAGCAAACTGCTGCCCACCTCCAGGGCATCGCTCTCGGCATATACCAGGTTCACACAGCAGGCCCTTCCCAGTGCACCAGTTCCACTGCCGAGACCCAGGCCCACATACTGCCCTCACCCCTGCAGCGTGAGCTTGGGTTAAGTGGGTGCAGCAGCACTGTGGGGCTGACAGGAGCTGCTGTAAGAAACTCGAGAGCAAAGTACGCCCCACCCGTGTCTGTCCCCTAACCCTTGAGCCCCCCAGGCTTACAGGCATGCTTTCTTCTCCCTCAGGCTGAGGCACACCTCAAGGTGCAAAGCTGTCCCTGTCCTCTAAGGGCACAACAGCCTCCACTAGCTACTGATGCCCGCCCATGCTCCATGCAGAGGGAGGACCGTTGGGGTTTGCTGCCATACAGAGTAGAAACTTCTCAAAGAATGACTGAATTTAGGAGGATGAGAATGTTCACTCGGGAGCTGTAAAATCACAGGACTGTTGGGCTGGAAAGAATCTATGAACCACTCATTCTTCAGATCTGTTATAGACACGGCCACCCCAGATGGGTTGAGGGGACCCTCAGCAAGCATGCTGAAGTGACAGGTCCACATCAGTGGCAGTGTTTCACCTCGGCTGGGACAGACTCACAAAGCATCTGGGACCCTGCGGCCTCAGTGTCTAGCACAGGCAAAGGGGCAGCTGTAGAGGAGCCTCTTCCTTCCCCACCCTGAGGTGTCTGTCTCGGTTTCCCCAGATGGGCCCAGAAGCACCAGAGCTGGAGGTTCCAGAAGACAAGGCAGACGTGGCTCCTGCTAAACATGTATGACAGAGACAAGGTCCGTATACCATGGGAACAGGGTCCTTGGGACAGGATGTTTGCAGGGGAGAGGACAGGGTTCCAGGCGACAGGATCCACACCTACCCGGGCCCCTAAGAGCTGAAGCCACAACTGGGAAGCACTGTCCTCGTGGTGTCCACCTTCCTTGTGCCCATGCTGGAAGGAGTGAGGCAAGGCCGACCTGGAGGCCACCAGCCTGTGACTGTGTGGGAGTACGGAAGCCACCTGCTTTGGGGTGTGTGTGTGTGTGTGTGTGTGTGTGTCTGAGTGGTTTCCCCCATGGACTATCTCAGCAGCCTTGTCACAAATCATCAGATAAAGGATTTACTTCTGGTTTCTGTCCTTGTGCCAGGACATGTCAGGACCTTGTTGTCCTGGTTACTGTTGCTTACATAGGGTTAGAAATCGGATGTATGAGTTGCCAGGCACTTTTAACAGGACTCCTGGCCACTCCTCTTGTCAGCTCACTCCACCCCACAACATCTTCTAGAGGAAGGGTGCAGCCACCCCTACAGCGAGCAGAGTTCTGAGTAACAGGAATCTGGTTCGCTTGGCTTCCCACATTACTCGCTTGAGCGTCTTCCTCCTCGGTCTGCTTAACCCTCTCCAGGTCATCTGTTCTTCAGCTCCAAAATGCTGCCACTGTGATCTCTTCACCCATGCTTTGTCCCCGTAGATTATTTTCTTTAAAATGTACCTGTTTGTGAATTTGGTGGCACTTCAAGGAGGGTGTGATGGGGGCCAGCCTTTTTAACCCACAGGAGCACCTACCTGGGCGAAGAGGCTGTGAGGTTGTCCCAGGGTCTGGCCCCTCATCCCATGTACCTCTCATGTACCATGTACCATCCCATGTACCATGTCTCTCGTCTCTCACAGAGCAGGGAGCCCTTTGCGTGGTACAAGGACACTGTGGGCTGGTGGCCAGAGGTCGTCTTTTCACTTCCGTCCTTGCTGAGACACCATACTTGACACCCACAATTTAAAGGAGCGTTTATTTTGGGTTTTTTATTTGTTTTTGTTTTTCTTATTTTGTGATTGTTTGTTGGTTTGGGATTTCGTTTTAGCTTGGGTTTTTGGGTTTGGGGGGATGGTTATTTCGGCTCACAGTTTGTAAAAGTTTCAGTCCATACCTGCGTGGCAGAGGGGCTTATTGGGGGGCAGCTGCCCCGCACATGGTAGCAGGGAAGCAGCAAGATGAAAGACCTGGGAGGGAGATAGAAACCCTTCCAGGCCACACTTCCATGACCCCTTCTTCCAACCAGACCCCACCTCTCAACAGCAAGTTTACTATAGACCCCATAATGAATCGCCTTCCCAAAGCCTTGGGTCTACAGAGAGGACGTGGGTTTTTAGGGAGACATCCAGGCATAAATCATGAGGACTGGGCACCTTGCCCCTCCATTACTAGGGCCCCTATGTCTCAGCCATCCTGGGGTTAATGCTGCTCTCCTCCTCCTGCCAGGTCCCAGAAGAGCACTTCCCCACCCTGCTGGCCTATCTGGAGGGGCTGCAGGGCAAGGCCCGCGAGCTGACCCTGCAGAAGGCAGAAGCCCTGATGCGGGAGCTGGATGTAGCAGGGTCAGATACTGCCCTGCAGGAGAAGGCCCCGCGCCTGCGCCAGGTGCTGCAAATGCTGTCCTAGCTGGGATGGCAAAGATCGGGGGAACGCTGCCACCTGGCATTCTGGGCCCTCAGATGCACAGGTTTCAACAGGAATAGGCCGGCTTTGTCCTTCCTCTTTGTGATGATGGGTCTTTGTGCCTTTAGAGGAGTCACTAGACTCACCTTGCACCCAGGAAGTTGCTGTCACACAGATGTCTATTTTTCTACTAGGAATGTCTTAGAAACTTGCAGCACTGGTCCTGCACCAGCTGCAGCTCCTCAAGGTTGGCATAGGATGTGCCCCAAGTTGGATACAGGTGCAAGGAAACCCCACAGGGGCTGCAATCTACCCATGCCTGCGTGACCACATCACCAATAAAACAAGCTGCTGCCTGTGTTTTGTTCTGTGTGTCCACACTCTTGCTGGCTATGGCTCTGACATCCTTCTTGGTAGGAACATGCCCAGGCCTCATGCTGTCCTTTGCAGCAACCTCCCCAGGACAGTGTCCTGCTCTGGAATCCAAGCTCCATCTGTGACACTCCCAATGGTCAGTGCTGACTGACCACTTCTATCAGCCTCTTCTCCAGGTGTTTGGTGACTATCCCAGCCAGGATATACACTGCACAAGAGGAGGCATCTGCAGGTCCCCAGCCATTTATGGTCCCTACTGCCTGACCTCCAGATGACAAATGTGATGACCCAGCCCACAAGGCTGTGGGAGAAGCTGCCAGTGATGGGAGGGCATCAAGAGGGCTGGGCTGGAGCCAAGGTGCCTTCAGTAGGCCTCAGGCCCTGAAGGCAGCCAGTGGCTCTGGGTTGGGCCGCCCAGGAGGGCAGCCTTCTCCCGGCCCAGGTGGCAGGTTGGCGTTGGGACTGGTGTGGTGTTGCTGGTCAGGACAGGAGATAGCTTTGTCCCAGGCCAAAGGTCTTGACATCCTGTGACCATTATGCTGGCCAGGCCTCATCTACAAATAGTATCCTCTGCCTTGGCCAGTGACCTGAGATGCTGCTGTCACTTCAGGTTTATTCACGTTAAACATCCAGCCAGGGACCCTGTGCATGTTTCTCATTGGCCACTCCCCATGTCACCTGCTCACTGTCTCTGGGCTGGGAGAAACCTGAGGGTCATGCCACTGGCCTTTGACCTGTCCTGCTGTGGGCAGAGTATTGCTCCTTGCGGTATATGGCCCTGCCCCCACCACCCACAGCATAGCTGGGATCATGGTGTCACACACAGATGCTAATGTATGTACAGTGGCCCTTGGGGACAGGAGGTAAGGAGCCCTCCACCTTCCTAGTGTCCTACGGTGAAGTCACAAACAGGAAAACAACTTCCCACATGGATCAAAGGGGCACTGGGAAGCCCTGTGGCAATACTTCGGAGGACCATGTGGCCCCAGCTGGCCCAGTGCAGTCAGGCACCAGGGTTGTGCCCAAGCTAAGTTCACTGAGACACAGACAGACAGTGATGGAGATCCACCAGTCACAAAGGTGTGGTAAGGAATCAGGACTGGATCTGAAACCATAGCTCTGGGTTTCCTTGCAGCCCAGTTATAAAGGGAAATGGGATGGAACCCTCGCTGTCAGAGGACACAGTGTTGGAGACCTGGGCCACCTCCCCTCAGATGGCCACCTGACACAACTAGAGGATCCTCTTTCCTTCCTGTGACCCCATCCCACACTGGGCAAGGAGTGCAGTGTGCAGTCTCCCTGGCAGGCGGTCCAGGGGGAGTGCAGGTATGTCAGCTGCAACCACACTCAGGAACCAAGCAGCTTCTTGAGGTCTTGGTACCTCAAGAAGATGAGATGCACTGTCTGAGGACACCCTGTGGTGCTGGGAGGTCCCAATGTGGAGCTGTTAGGCCCCAGCATTGAGCTGTGAGTGCTTGGCTTGAAAGCCTGCATGGGACTGCCTGGATCTGGAGACCTCCTGAGGTTGGCTGTTCACCTTTCAACCCCCAACCAGAAGCAACCCAGCATCCATCAACACGGAAGCAGACTGGACTACATGTGTTAGTTGGCTTGTCATCGCTGTGGCAAAACACCTGACCCAAATGTGAAAGAATGCCTGTTTTGGCTCCTGACTTCAGAGGTTTCGGTTCATGGTCACCAAGCTCTGTTGTGCCTGGACCCATGGAGATAAAGAACATCATGGTGGAATGTGTGAGGGAGCAGAGCCATTCATCTCGTGGTGGGAACAGAAAGCAAGGGAGAGCATCGGGGAGGAAAAAGGAGGCCAAATAGACCTCCCAGGGCCACACCCCACAACCCATCCCACGTGGGCCCCCTCCTGTCTCTGTCACTCTTGATCACTCTGCCACCTTATAATTGCATCATAATAGAGTCTTCATGAACCCATCATCTTTCCAAACCAAACCAGGCCAAGAGACAGAAGCCACACAGGTAAGGACAGACTGTATGACTCCATCTATGAGATTCCAGAAGCTGGAAGTTGACCAGTAGTGACAGGGACACCAGCATTGGTCAGAAGGGGCAGACAAGGCTTGTGGTAGGACCCCCGGCCTCAGCTATGTGGTCACACAAGTGTTTGAAGATTGCAGAACCCACCAGATCATACACTTGATGTACATTATCAGTAATTCCTCAATAAAGTTGATTTTCAGAAGTTCCTGTTCCCCAGGGAACCTTCCAAGCAAGGACACCCTGCAGGACAGAGACCACAGGCACCCTACCACCATGGGATAGAGGTCAAGACATACTCACAGGTCAGAAGTTACAAGTACACCCTCAGTGCAAGTCAGGGACAACCGCAGGTCAGAGATTACAGACCCAGGTAAAGGTCACAAAAGGTGGCCGTAGCGCCATGTTTGTTTCTTTGTGTGTGTCTTTATCAGGGTTGTGTGCCCCTTGGGCCACCAGCCAGCACTGCTCAAAAGTCGGGCACATTCTCAGGGCACCCAGTGGACAGGATAGAAGCTTCTAGATAGGGCTTTACAAACCCTGCTGCAGCTGAGAGGATGGCGTTTTAAGAAGCATGGCTCAGCTCCTGACTCTCACAGCGCCCCCTACAGTCCTAGTTGGCCCAAAGGAATCGCTGTGGCTTCTCATGACAGGTGATGGTGCAGAGCTTGTTCTGGGTCCACAGGCACCTTTCTTCTGGAGGGACTGCCTGCCTCATTCCTCTCAGCCAGACAGCCAGGTGTTTTTGTTGTTTTGTTGCGTATATTTTACAGCACTGGTGATTGAACCCAGAGCCTTCACACCAAGCTACACCCTCAGCTTTTTAAAATTTATTTTGATACAGTCTCACTGTCACCCAGGCTGGGCTTGAACTTACAGTCCTCCTGCCTCAGCCTCACAGAATTCTTGAATCACAGGCGTGCACCCTTACACCCAGCTGCCCTCTCCTTTGCCATAGCCTGCCTAGGGTACCCCCAACTCGAGCTCACCAGGCTGATATGAACTGTGCCAGGAGCCACACAGAACCCCCACGAAAGTCTGATTCTTAGATAACCCTGTGTGTGTGTGTGTGTCCTACAGAGGCCCACATTGGAGAGCCCACCCCAGGGCATTCTGTGGGAGCCAGATAGATGTCTCTGCCTCCGCCACGGTGAGGACAGAGGTCACAAGATGGGCTGGGAACCAAGTACAGCCATCTAGATCTCCAGCCCACACAGGAGGCCATGGAGCCCAGTGGGCAGCGGGTGCCACCTGGGCCCAGCTCCTGCCCTCAAGGCTTCAGTGTGTCATAGCAGTGGGGAGAGTGGAACTCTGGCTGAACTTTGTGCATTTCAGCACCTCAGTTTCCAATCTGCACCAGATTCCATGAGCAGCCAGTCCTGGTGGTGGCTGTCCTGAGTGGAAGTCTTTGACCTCCTGAGATGGAGTGCAGTGGGGCCTGAAGAACTTGCCAGCTGCCTCTTCATTCCCTGATGTGCCCCCTGAGGTCCCAGGGACCTCCCCTTTCCTTCCTGTGGATGCCTCTGGTATCTCAGCCTGGGATACCTCAACCCTGTATCTCCCAATGAAGCTCTCTGGTTCTCTGTCATGACCCATTCCACAGATGAATAAACTGAGATTCAGGTTCCTAGTCCCCAGTACACTGGGGTAGACCAGGGCCCTCAGTGCAGCACCCATCATGAAGAGCACACTAGTTAGGGAAACCAAGGGCACCATTTGATGGTAAGCAGAGGCCTCCAGCCAGTGCCCCACAACACCCCCAGAACAGGGCATCTGCTGGAGAATCAGCCAGGTCTTCAGGCCTGGTTGATGCAGGGTGAGAACTGGTGATATCAGCCAAGGTTGAGCCATGGTACATGGTGCCCCAGGGCCAGTAGCACCTACTGCAGCTATGGAGGGCATCTGGCAGATCCTGCCCCTGGCTGGAGGAGGCCCTGGGAAATGTGGGGCAACATGAGGCCTCCTGGGATCTGAGATAGGCTTAGGGGAGCACTGAAGGGACACTTCTAGTCTGTACTGGGGGCCTGGCTGCCCAGGGGGCAAGAGTAGAAGAGAGCGGGTAGTACGGAGGATGCAGGAGCCTGAGAGAGAGCTAAGGCCTTGGCAGAGACAGACTGGGGCTATGAGGTCACATTCCCTCTCGGGCACCCAGACAAGAGTCTGTTTCCCACCAGCAGTGGATGTGATCTGCTCACAAAAGCTGACTGCTGGACACCTAACCTTTTGTGACTGGGTGGGGTGGGTCTACTTGCCAGTCATCCTCAGGGACACTGCTGCTGCCCCGTCACCTACCAGGGACTCCTGTGCTGTGGGCCAGGCAGGGAGTCGCCTGGTAGATCACCCTAGTGCCGGGGTATCGCACACAGGGCCTGGGCCCGGGGCCTCATGGTAAAGGCCAGGGCAGGCATGGTGTCCAGGGCAGCAGGGCTGACACCAGGTGGAGGCTGCAGGTGGTAACGCTGGAGCAAGCCAGCCAGCAGCAGGAAAAGCTCAGTCCTGGCCAGGCTTTCTCCAACGCAGACACGGCGGCCTGGGGGAAACAGAAACACCATGTGGTGTGCCAGGTCTCTCCTGCTGTGGGGAGGGGAGGCCCTGCAGGGTAGGAGTGACAGGAGTGCCTGTGGCCTCTGACCACCCATCAGGGCCGTGGTACCTGCAGAGAAAGGCAGGAAGGCCAGCCGCTTCAAAAAATGCCCATCCGAGTCCAGGAAGTGCCCCGGATTGAACTGGCTGGGGGTCACCCACTGGGTCTTGTCCAGCAGTACCGAGGTCAGCAAAGGGATCACAGGCGTGCCCTGTGGGCACAGGGGTGTCACTAATCAGGTGCAGCTCTGGGATCCAGGAGAGACCCCAGGACACATAGCGACCCTTGCAACATACCCAGAAGGACCCCCCAGGACAAAGAAAGATATTCCGATCTAGCTCTAACACCGCAGCAGGAAGACAGTTTAGTGACTGATCCCCTTCCTTCCTCCTCCCAGGGAACCTGTGACTCTATTTTCTCCCCTTGTCTGGGTCCACTTGTCCCCCATGGGACAAGAGAAGCGTGTGGACCCACCTTGGGGAGCAGGTAGCCACCCAGTCGGGTATCAGTGGCTGTGCAGCGAGGCACATGGGGCAGCAGCGTGATATAGCGCTGCACCTCATGCAGCACTGCGTTGGTATAGGGCAGCTGCTGCTGGTCCTCAGGCTGCGGGAGCCTCCTGGCACCCAGCACACGGTCCAGCTCCTCCTGCACACGACCTGTGCCAGAGCGGGTACCACGTCAGTGAGGGCCATCCCTTCACCCTGGGCTCCCATCCAACTATGTTGGACCTCACCCTGAATGTCCGGGTGCCTGGCCATCAGTAGGGCTGCCCACTGCAGCGTGGCAGAGGTGGTCTCTGTGCCAGCCATGAGCATGTCCAGCATGCAGGCCACAACATTGGCCTCAGTGAACAGGCCTTGGTGGTCATCCCCCTGTGAAGCAGGTAATGGGGCTCAGCTGGGAGGTCTGGGGCCCTTTCTCCAAGCCATGTATCCAGTCTTACCCCAGGCCTGGGACAGGAGAAGACAGACTGGGCAGGAACAAACAGACCCAGCATCTGGCTAGTGTCCCACTTCATAGACAAGAGACCAAGGCTCAAGGAGGCCCCAGAAGGGAATGTGGAGCTCCATGCAGGCCTGCAGAAACTCCCAGCCCCAGCCCCTGAGAAGGAGCCCCATATCACCTGTATCTGACTCTGCTGGATCAGAGCATCCACATAGCTCTGTACAGGGCCACCCCTGGGTGTAGTGCACCGTCGCTGCTCCAGGATCGTCTTCAGGATGGCTCGGACCTTTTCAATCTTGCGCATAACAGGCCGGTGCAGACCAAGAAAGGTCCCCAGCCATGGATAGATGTTGAAAAGCTGGGGACAGAGGGCAGGCAGATGGAAGGTTGGTTGGAGGAGTCTGTCCAGCATCGACAGCTGTGCCAGGGCAGATGCTGCCCTCGGCCACAAGAGGGCGCTCACTGCAGAAAAGAGTCGCTGGATGGTAGCACATAGGCTGGCTGTGCGCAGATCCAGAGAGGCTGTTCGTGTTAATCCCCCCTCCCAGAGCCAGGAAGATTGCAAAGGAACCGGTGCCACATGGAAGTGACCCCATGGGCCTGAGTTGCAGAGAAGATTCAGAGCCTTGACCCAGCTCTCAGTCGTGGGCTCGCAGCAGATGGGATCAGAGATGCAGGATGCTTGCCTCCCCAGGGCATCAACACCACAGGTAGAAAATGCCACATAAGTCTCAAAATGTGGAGCTGCCATAGGCAGAGAAAACCAGAGACCACCTGGGCCCTGGGCCATCCGGCAGGGCCACTAAGCCACACACGCTGCTCTGGGGCAGGCAAGCATCCCTATACCTAAGAGGAACAGGCTCATTCAGGGCAGTGGGTCCAAGGTGGGAAGCCCAAAGCCTCCCCTTTCACTGCTCCCCAAACCGCACCACACATGCCTCTGCTCGCTGAGCTTTGTTCCACAGTGGTAACAAAGGACACACAAGATGAGCCCAGCTGTCAATTCTGGGACAGCACATTAGCATGCAGGATTCAGTAAAGACAGCTAGAAATGGCAAAGTCCTTAAGCTTTGGCGAAGAATGCAGTATAAACCCCGGGGCTCCTGAACATTGGAAGGGATGATCTGAGAGATTCTGTGGTGTGGTGACAGCCTGGCTAGAGGGGCCTGCGGTGCTCAGGGCCACAGTCCTGGGGAGAAAATTTGGTCCTGCCCCCACCTTTGAGCACGTGCATCTGTTGCCTAGGGGAAGATGGAGACCCCTTTCTTGAACCCCTATTTCTCAGACAACACATGCCAGCAAGGGTCATATGGATGCTGCCTGAACCTCAGCTTGTAGCAAGAGAGCAGCCTCTTACCTGCAGGCTGGGTGACCCTAATAGGACCATGACCTCATCAATCAGCCCTAGCAGGGACTGGAACACAGGGTCCTGGTAGTCAAACCGCTGGCCGAAGAGAAGCGTGAATGTGATGTTGGAGGGTGCCCAGCCCAGCAGGGCCAGTGGGAAGGGCTGGCCTGTGGGGAGACAGGACTCAGGCAGATGGAGGACCTTTGGAGCCAGCAAGGGCTGGCTTTGAGGAAATGGGGCTCAGGGTGGGGGCTCCAGGCAGGGGTGTCTAGCCCCCACTCACCTCTGAAGCCATCCAGCTTTCCTGTGAGACTCGCCAGCTCCTGCAGCACTTTGCCAGCCACTGGGCCCTGCCCCACACCCAGGCTGTGCAGCACTCGCACTGTGAACCTGCGGGCAGACCGCCAGCGCGCCCCAGAGGAGAAGAAGATGCCTGCAGCAGAGGTAGCAGAGACTTAGATGAGCCTGCCTCACCTCTGAGAGTCAGTAGGGAGCAGCTGGGCCCCCTCACACCCAACCTTCTCCTGTTCTGGGCTGGCCTTGGCCCAGGATGGAAAGGCCCAGGTGGAGACACCCTGTCCCTCCCAAGGGCTGCCCAAGAGCCCTCTGTACCTACCACGGCCTTGCTGGATGAGCTGAAAGATGGGAATGGGAGGCCGGTCAGCCAGCTCCTGTCCAGTGCCCACCAGGGCATCCCTTACAGCCTCGTAGCCTGACAGCACTACAGTCTTCTGGCCTCCCAGGTGAACTGTGAACATCGGCCCATAGCGTTCTGAGAGCTGGCGGAACGGTAGGGTCAGTGACAGGGAGGGGCACAGTATAACATGACAGGAACCTCCCTTCCAGGGGCCCATGAAGCCCCTGGTAGGGGCACCATCTGGCAGACTCAGGCAGCCCAGGATTCCCAGGGTTCCAACCCTCTCTGGGGCTCAGCTTGGCCAGTGGCTCCCCCAACCCACAGCAAAGGACAGGCAGACAGAGGCAGCTTAGAGGGTCAGTCCTGCCTTGCTGACCTGTGACTCAGTGAGGACACAGAACAGTACAGGGCTGCCCCCCACCTGCCCCTCCCTGCCCTGAGGGTGTCACTTCCCATCTTAAGAAGAGGAAATCAAATCCTTAGTAGGAAGTGAATTGCTTTCAGGCGAAAACACTGGGTCCCAGCTGGGTCAGCTCCTGCCCAAGACCTTCCAAGGCCCAACAGTGAGCCTGGGGTCCAGCTCTGGGGAGTCCAGTACATCTCAGCCTAGGAAGGGACACCAGGCAGCCACACTAGCGGTGCTGAAAATAGGAGCCCTTTGGGCATGGGCATCCCAGGAGTGGCAAAAGTGTAGAAGCCAGGGGGCCTGGCTGGTCTCTGGCCAAAGTCTTAGGGCAGGTGTAGAGGAGGCAGGGTTGCTCCAGTCTCACGAGTTCCCTTCAGTGGGATAAGGATTTTCTTTCTCCAGCAACCTGGGTAGCCACTCCCTGGGCACCCCACTTGCCTGAGGACACTTCTGACCCTTGGGGGTTCTTTCCAATTGTAGACACTTCCTGGAGCACCTGCCTCCTACCAAACCAGCCTCCTGTAGCCCATCTTCAAATGCTGCCTCCTCCATGAAGCCTTCCAGGCCCACTGATCCTGAGCGCTGACCCTGGGCAGCATTTCCCAGGGCTGCCTTCCTGTTGAGTGGGTCTGTCTTCTCCCACGGGCAAGGTGATACTCCGGCCTCTTGTGTCTTGCAGTGGGGGCCAGCACCACACAGAGCTGGACGTAGAAATGGGGCTTGGCCTCCCCAGACACAGGCTGGGTTACAGCCACAGAGGCTGTGGGAGCTACATGGAGGGGCTGCCCCTACCTCCAGCAGCCACTGGTCCTGTTGTGAAGCTCGAAGCAAGGGCAGGTTCCCCAGGAGCGGCAGCGGGCGAGGCCCAGGGGGCCACTGTGAAGCTGGGGAGGGGCCTGGGGCTGCGGTGCAGAGCAGCCCCCAGAGGCCCAGGAGCCCCAGTAGTCCCAGCAGTCCCAGGAGCAACAGCAGGGCCATATAGCAGCAGTGGAGGCCCCAGCTCCCCTGTGGGCCCCCGTTCCTGAGCCTTATAGCCACCCTGCTGAGGGCGTGCCAGGACCCCACCCTCCCCACCACCCCGAGAATGTGGAACAAGCAGTTTGCAGGGGACAGCCCCAGCAGGCAGCTTAAAGTTACAGGCTGCATGGAATGTGGGGTCGAGTCTGCGCAGGGGCCTGAGCAGGGTGAAGAGCCCAGGAGATGCAGGGCCAGGGCCCAGGGGGTGGAAAGGCTGTGTGAGATCAGGCATCCATGACACGTGGGTGCCCCTGTTTGCCCCAGGACCCAGGCATGACTGTTTTGTGCTCCACACTGTGGACCAGCCTATCTACCTTGGTCTCCCTGTCAGTACAAGTCACTGGGCCTGGCCTCACCCACAACTCTCTCAGCCCCAAGAATCTCTGCAAGACTCTGGGGCAGCCATCTGCATTCACCTGTGTCCACTGGGCCCAAAGGGGTCTTTGACAGGGTGCCCCTGCTGGGCACTATTCACAGGGCCTCAAACCCAGGGCCTTCAGAGGTCACCACCTTCATGCCTAGCTGCATCTCTGACAGTGGGCCCACCCTAATCTGCTCCTACCTAGCCTTTCCACAGCTGCAGCCGGAAGCAGGGGCTGCCCCAGCATGGATGGGGCAGGGACAGGGTGAAGGCTGCAGCTGGGGGCAGATAGCCAATCACAGCCCTGTCTACCTGTGTCCAGCTGGGGGGTGGGAGTGAGGTGCTCCTCTTAGGAGGAGGCAGGCGGCTGTTGGCATGAGAAGCAGCCAGGCCTGTCCCAACATGAAGCACTGAGAACCCCACTACCTCTGGCAGGGCCCCTCACCTTGGGGCTGTCATGCACTTACCCTCAAACAGCAGAGGCAGCTGTCAACCCTCCCAGAACTTGTCACCCTTGATGAGCTATGAAAGGAAGGCCCCAGCCTGGATTGCACACCTCCTGTGGTGGAGTGCTTGAGGCTGCACCTCCTCGTGCATGTGGGCTGGGCTTGGCAGCTGCAGAAGGGGCACAACCCTCACACACACTAGCCTCTGGGTCATTCTGCTAAGCAAGGCCACTCATGTCCAGGCTGGGGCAGGGGCACTTCCTGCACAAGGATGTCTACCTAGGTACTTCAGGAAGCGTTTATTAGACACCTGTCATTTATCAGCCTCCACCAGGACTACAGAAATTGGTGGCATAGTGACCCAAAAGGACCATGCTCCCATAGTCCCCTGTGTGAGATGGATGTGACAACTGGTTTTGTACTATAAATGCCTCTGGGGTGCCGTGGGGATACCACAGAGAGGAAAAGGCTGGGGCTGCTTCTCAAAGCATATAGTCTATATTGCAGCAGGTGAGCTAGGACCCGCCAGGCTCACGGTGCAACATGAGCCTGGAACAGAATGTGGGGTGACATGAGCTAGGCCAGACAGGACCACAGTCAGTTGGGTAGGGGTATGAGGAGCTCCAGGCCCAGGGTAGGGCTCACCCAGCAGCAGAATGAACCCCAAATAACAGCCTCAGCAAAGAACCACAGCCATTTACCCCTGTGCCTAGGAGGCCAAGAGCTCCATCGGGGGCTCTGAGGGCAAAGCTTTGCCATGTCCCCATTGTCTGGTGTGGCCTACAGCCCTTGGCTTGTGGATACCTCACCAGCCAAATCCCCCTGCCTCTGTCCTCACATGGTCTTCTCTCTGCATCTTCTCTGTCTCAGATCACCTGTCATTAGATTTAGAGTCCACTCTAATTCCAAGATGATCTCATTTTGAGATCCTTACCTCAGTCACATTTGTAGAGGCCCTATTTCTATTTGTTGTTTGTTTTTGTTTTTGGTACAGGAATTGGAACTTCCCAGGCAGCTGATGTGCTTCTGAACTACATCCTTGGCCCGAGGCCCTATTTCTAAATAAAGTGCCAAAAGGAAAGTTGAAGCCCTGTGTAGTGTACATGCCTGTACTCCCAGCATTCTGGGAAGCTCAAGGAGCAGCAGAAGGGTCAGAAATTCAAGCCCAGCATGGGCAATTAGCAAAGCTCGGCCTCAAAATAAAAACTAAACAAGGCTGAGGTTGTAGCTCAGTGAAAGCCCTGGGTTCAATTCTCAGTACTGGAAAAAAAGAAAAGGAAAAGGAAGGGAGGGAGGAAAAGGCAAGGCAAGGCAAGGCCCAGGGTAAAGGAGAAGAGAGGAAGGGAGGGGAGGGGAAGGGAGGGGAGGGGAGGGGAGAGGGGAGGGGAGGGGAGGGGAGGGGAAAGGAGAGGAGAACAAAGGAAAGGTAAGGAATAAGAAAAGAAGGAAGTCAGTTGTGATGGCTGAAATGTCCCACAAAAGAGGCCCCTCCCTACTGGGCCATCCACTTCTGCATCCTCCAGGGACACATTTGTACCCTGTGGTCTATGTGTCTATTTTTACAGCTTCACCAATGCACCATGAGCCATATGTTTAAAGCATACAATCCAATGAATGTGATGACATGCAACTGTAATCCCAGTACTTTACGAGCCTGAAACAAGAGGATCACTAGTTTGAATCCCACCTGGGCAATTTAGCAAGACCGTGTCTCAAAATTATAAAGAGAGAGAGAGAGAGAGAAGGAAGGAAGGAAGGAAGGAAGGAAGGAAGGAAGGAAGGAAGGAAGAAAGAAAGAAGAAAAGAAAGTTGGGTTTGTAGCTCAGTGATAGAGCACCCCTGGATCTGATATTCAGTATCATAAAAAATAAAAAGCATGTAATTCCAGTTTGACACATATCCGTACCCACATATCCATACCTATGAAACCACTGCCACAATCAAGACAGTGAGTACCCATTACCCCAAAGCTCCCTGAGCACTTCTTTGTCCTCTCTCTGCCTCTGAATGTTGCTTGTTGCCTTTTTTTTCAGTACTGGGAACTGAACCCAAGGCCTTTGCTCTGAGCTACGTTCTTAGCCCTTTTTATTTTTTGAGATAAGGCCTCTCTAAATCACGAAGTTGCTCAAACTTGCAATCCTTCCCCAGCCTCCAAGAAGGCTGGGATTCTAGGCCTGCACCAAACTTACCTTGCATTTTTAACGGTGCTGTATGCCCAGAAGTAGACAGGGCCCCCACTGGCTGCTGCCTGATGCAGACATGGCTGGGGCTCAGCATTTCCTGGCTCCAGTCCTGGGCTCGGGCCCAATGCCCTGTTAGAAGTATGTCACAGCTTCTCGGTGTGTGGCTGCAAGGATTCGGCAGAGCAAATTACTACTGGTGAAGCCAATATGGAGTTAAGGTCTATTCCCTCTGGATTCCAAAGATACTCTCAGTGTCCTACAAAGACGAGTGTGACACTTTCCATCCTGGTCACTCAAGCCTGTCTGATCAGGCAGGTGGTCAGGCTCCCTGAGCAACCCCTGTGGCCAGGTCCAACACAGTGCTATGACTGACACAGAGACGGGGAGGGGATCAGTCCCCCTCAGGGAGTCAGATGGCTGTAGTAAATGACAGCACCCAAATGCTCCCAACTGCATGACCCTCATGATATGGGCTTTGCCCCTCCTATGAGAGAAGAGACCTATGTCCCCTGCCTCTGAACCTGGAGGACATTCTGACCATAGTAGAGGCTATACTGTGGGATTTCCAAGGCCAGCATAAAAAAGACACAGCTCCTACTTGTTCTCTGTCCACTCCACTGCGAGGAAGACTAGGTGGCCTTGAGAAGCCCAGGTGGACAAGCGAAGGCCCGAAGAAGCAGGGCCAGTCTTACCTGACAGCCGATGCCTGTTGCCAGCCACAAGAAGTAGAGACCCCAGCTGATGCCTTGTGGAGCTGGGCCACCCAGACCTGCATGGACTACACGTTCCTGAGCAAGGCAAGAAATTTTGCTACCACACGGCACTAGGTTGGACTGGTTTATTACGCAGCCATAGGCAGTTCATGCAGTGGCTCTGTAGATTTCAGCTGGGACTTGATCCCTTTGTTTAGTCTCTTGCACGAGATGATGAGACTAAAAACACCTAACTGCATTCACTCACTTCAGAACCTTCTTATAAGCACCTACTGTGTGCCCAGGCACCATTCCAAGTTCTGGGCATCCCCTCGGGAAAGAGCCTCCTACACAAGAGGGCTTCAGAAAGGACAGTTCCTTTCCCACTTTTTATACCCCTGAATTGCAAATAAGTCTTTCCTAGCCAAATCTCATATAAAGCAATAATCATTTACCAGGTGACAGTTAATTAAAATTCATTGTCACTTCTGGTAATGACCCTCTGCTGCTTCCCATCAGAGGTGCCACACAGAATCTGGACAACCTTAGGGGAAGGGGGTGTCCTTTCCCTGCTAAGTGATGTGACCTAGTCAGTAGAAAGGACAATCTGTTGAGTAATAAAAGCTTCTATTGTTCACATCCTTGGAAACATATTAATAAATAACCCAGTATTTGGCCTCATTCCAGCTGTGTAAAATGGTTGTTTCTATTAAAAAAAAAAAAAACACCAAAGCTTGATTTTCCTTTTTTGTAGTTTTAAGTGGGCCCAAAGCCTCAGACTGATCAAGATCCCTGATGTTTAGGGCCTCCCTGGGGCCTTGGTGGTGAAGTCCCCCTAAGACGCCCAGCACTGGCTTTGTGCTTCCTCTGAACACACACTTTCTCCAACCGGCCTCAATCCAGTGGTGTGTGCTGCAGCGTTGCAAGCGTGCCAGAGAACAAACAAGGGAGACCCTGGCATCCTTCTGAAGAGGAGACCCCAAACCAGGCTGGCAGAAGGTTTGTCCTGGGATGAGAGTGAGGACTCTCTGGTCAGGATCCTTTTTCTGCAGCCCTTTTAAGTTGAAGGAGTTGGTTTCTTTGGTCAATACTAGTGGTATTGTCTGCCATCAAAGCATGGGGCTAGTGAGGCTCTGTCCTCTCCTAAGCGTTGGGTAAGTGGGGTCAGTGTTAATGAGACACAGGGATACAAGCACACTCAGGAGGCAAGTTGGTCCTGTGAAGTGGAAACCCAGACAGGGTGCCCAGTCAAGGAGCACCAAGGATAGACAGGACGCTGGCTGCCCAAGACTCTTGGTCTCCTGAATCTGGGAGAACACATTTTAGTTTTTTCAGCCATTACTTGTAGCACTTTGTTAGGGCAGCCACAGGCTGCTGAGGTACACTCCTCTTTTTTTTTTTTCTTGGTATGGGAATTGAACTCAGAACCTTGCACTTGCCAGGCACGCACTGTGCCGCTATTTTAGCGGTACTGGGGATCGAACTCACGACCGCCTGCTTGCAAGGCAGGTACTTATGCCGCTGAGCTAAATCCCTAGCCCCCTCCAGTCTTCTTGCCACAATTAGGCCCTGTGTGCGGACAGGCAACCGACCCGGCTGACACCTGAGATCTCCATCCCGGGGTTTTAACTATGTGTCCTCGGGCAAGTTGCTGCACCTCCTAGCTTTCTTCGGCTACACCGGGGGTTGAAGGTAGGCTTCTACCGAGGGGATATGTCGGAAAGTACTTGGCAGCCCGCTCCACCCGGACGTCAGGAGCTTTGGGAAAGGACCTGGGGTGGGCGGGGCACACGCGCGCGGCCAGAGCCGGAGGGCAGCGCGGTAGCTGTTGCAGCGGGGTTGGGGGCGGGTCCGCTGCTCGAAGCGCTCTGCGCTCCCTGGAGCCGGCTCGGCGCTCTGCCGGCCGCCCTGCGCACGGCGCTTGCATCGCATTCTATTTCCCGGCGTTATCATCATGTCGACCGCTATGAACTTCGGGACCAAGAGCTTCCAGCCGCGGCCCCCTGACAAGGGCAGCTTTCCGCTGGATCACTTCGGTGAGGCCAAGGGTCTCGGACAGGGTGGCTGTTCGCAGGCCCAAGAGTGCGGAGTCTGAAGTGCAGAGTGTGAGCGGCGGGCATTGGGCGGACGGGGGCGGGGCTGAGGCGCAGGTTCTAGGCGGTCTAGGTTGAGGGACAGTGTCTGGAGTCTAGAAAGCAGATCTGAGGTGCAGCATGGCGTAGATGTAGAGGGCGGGTTTGAGGTGCTGGTTCTCTGGTACAGGGCCAACGGGCCAAGTGGGGCAGCAGATGTGTGGTTCAATCCTTGGGATGCGGAGCAAGCTTGCTCCTGGGCTATCAAGCCTACTCAGAGCCCCATGAAGGTGCAAAGCAGGGAAACAGGTTCGGGAAAACTAACTTGGGCTGAGTATTACCCGCCGAGGCGTGGACCGTGCAAATGACAGCCGACAGGAGTGTGGCCCTAACGGTACAAAGACAGTAACATTCACTCCTCGCTCCAGTCAGGGTCTTTCTTCTGGTTCCTACTGGAAGACCATCTGCCACCCAGGACTGGAGTGACTTTTGTTAGGGAGCAAAAGAATGCTCTAGGTTGTCAAGTGAATGTCATGCAAATAAATATATTTTTATTTTTATTTTTTGTGGTGCTAGCTATTGAACCAAGGACCTGTTGCATGCCACCAAGCAACATTCACACCCCAAATACATGCTTGTGAATATTATGAGGTCTATAGTTGCTGCACTTGATTTCAGTGGGCTCCCCTATATCATGAACTACTCAGTGTCTCCCCTGCTGGATTTTGCCCTTAACATTTTGTTAGACTTGCATAATCACATTGTTGGATTGTTTCTTTCCAGTATTGGCTTTTTCTGTGTGTTTCTGAAGAAAATAAATGGGGAAGGTGGTTTGGTCTAGTCATCCAGTCTAGTACCTCATGCATCTAGGCAGGCACCTTACCACCAAGCAACAACCCTAGCACTGTGAAGGAGACAAGATTTATGGGTTCAGTTTTGTTTTGCAGAATTGGAGATTGAACCCAGGGCTTTTGCACTGAGCTATATCACTAGCCATATATATATATATATATATGTATTTATACTTCAAGACAGGATCTTGCTAAATTACCTGGGCTGACCTCAATCCACCTGCTGCAGTGCAGCGATTAGGAGAATACACCATGTTGCCTAGCTGGGAAATAAGATTTAACAGAAGAGTAAAGTCATCCTTAAGGCTGCTGTGTTAACAGGTGAAGTTTCAACTTTAAAAAGAAGACACTGTTTTCCTTTTCATTCTAGGTGAATGTAAAAGCTTTAAAGAGAAATTCATGAAGTGCCTTCGTGACAATAAGTTTGAAAATGCTCTATGCAGGAATGAATCAAAAGAATATTTAGAGTGCAGAATGGAAAGGCAAGTACAAACTAACATTTATGACTCCATTTCTCACTTGACTAAAGCTTTTTTCCTCCCTCCCAAAAGCCTGTTATGGTAAGCTTTATTTGGACCTGGGGTTCAGTTTGTATATTTCAGAACCATAGATATTTGCTAGTGAAACTGAAGCTTATCAAACGAGATTGTATGAAAAGCTGTTTAAAATCCTGGAACCCTTTTCTTGAGTGACAGCATTATGCATGATTACATTCCTCAGAGCATTTGCTTTCCAAACTTAGGTGTTACTGACCTGTCACTAAGGCTTTATAATTGTACATCGTGAAAATGCTGACTGAGTCAAAAGATTTGAAGATTCTGTGGGTGCAGGTTATTTTCTTCACGTTCTCAGACCAGAAAATTGTACTCTGTATTGTTTGGTTCCACCTGCAGCTGTTTGGAATGTGATAGTGGTGACAATGGGCTGTTTAAGAAATAATGAAAAATGAGTAACTGCTGCTGTCTTGAGAGGAGTTCACAATTAAACAAAATAAAAACATTTGTAACTGTAATCCATAGAATTTTTACCTGAAATAAGAGCTATTAATCCGTAATGTAAAAAAAACACATAGCATAAAATTATATGCTTGTGGTGCTTTCACTTTTGATTTTTGAAGCCACAGTTAGCTCAGTAGGGATTCAGTCTTCACACAGCCTTGTCTGGACTATCAGATGCTCCCCTGGAGGCACAGGTGTAGGGGCATTTGGGACTTGAAGTGTGCTGAGTTTTTCCTGTGAGGCCCTGTGCCCCTCTGGAGGTGTTCTTACAGGTCTTGAGTCTGCCCAGGTGCCACACTGCATCCAGCTCCTGCCTCTAAGTAGCACATTGATTGGAATCACGTTGTTGAGTCACTGTCTTAACATGTTCACGGTGGGGCCATAATTCCTATTTCGTGCTACCAGGTGGCTCTGAATCACTGGTGGTACCAGTATGACTATCCCATTGGGGGGCATGGGACAGTCTCATCAGGACTGCCTGATGGGACACTGTTGCATGTACCACCAGTGGTTCAAGCTGGCAGAAACATGTTAAATATGTGCCTTTAGAAAAGTGGAACTGAGAGGCTGAGGATGCAGCTCAGTGGTAGTGTTCCCTCGGGTCAATCCCTGGTACTGGAAAATAAAAAAGAAAAAAGTGAACTGAGAATTTCTCTTTGATGCTGCTGCACTTTAGAGAGAGCTAGGGTGGTCTCTGTTTATGAGGGTACAAGCAGGTCTCCTGCCTCAACACAACTCAGGTCCCAGATTTTCTTTCTTGTTTTTGTTTTGAAATAGTTCCTTATGCAATTCAACCTGACCTTAAACTCATTATGCAGCCCAGGCTGGTCTTAAACTTACAGTGATCTTCCTGCCTCAGTCGCCAAGTGTTGGCATGGCCAGCACGCACTACCACCTCTGGATAGTTCCTAGATCTTGAAAATCTGTAACATGAAGTTCCCCAAAAAGATAGCAAGTATGATGAACATGCTTGGGCTCATAGACAGGCAAGCAGGCAGGCAGCTGTTGCTGCTTGGGTTGCTTCAGAGGGTGTGGCTGGCTTTGGCTCCCCAAAGAAAGTTCTTAGCCTGCCAAGTAAAGGTTTCCAGGCAGGGACTGCAGAGGATTTCTCATTTCCCAATGTTCTGGAGGTTAGCTGTAGCCACCACTGTGACACAGCTGCCTCAGGCCTGTCAGGATAGAGCACATGTGGTATGACTTCTAGTGGTTTCACTGATGCTCAGGTGACATTCATGTGAACACAGAGGTGTGTGGCTTTTGATTTGGTCAGTTTGACTGTAGGCTTTTGGTTGGTTATAAAGAGATTCAACGTGCAAAACTAAGGCTGTTTCAGCCTTCCAAAGCCACCCAGATGAGGTCAGGGTTTCATACAGTGGCCGTCCACATATACCTCCCTCATCGTGTGCATACATATTCTGACTCTTTCTCTTTTTTTCTCCATTCTTTGACTTTAGAACTTGCTCAGAGTTGTGGTTGTTCTTGATGGCCTAGCTCAGGTGCTAACTTTCTGAAGGTTTGCAGGTAGTGGAAGAAATCTTTTGAGCTGTGCCTCATTTGGCTTAAAGTTTTTACTCCTTGTTCCCTTTTCCTGCCCTAATCACAAGTGGCAGCATCTGGGTAAGCACAGCTACAAGCATTTCCTGTAGCCACTGTGACAGGCTCTGCAGACAAGCAGCTTCACCACACACACTCAGGACCTTCAATATGTAGGTCAGGAGTCTGGTCCCAAGTCTCCCTGGTCTGGTGCTGGCAGGGCTGATCCCTGCTGGAGACTGCAGGCAGAATCTGTCTCTTGCCTTTCCAGCTTTGAGAGGCATTCACATCCCTCAGCTCATGACCCCTTCCTCCCTCCTCCAAGCCCATGGCCATGCATCTCTGATCCTTTTTTCTTTGGCATTTTTCTCTAACTGAAGCCAGGAAAGATTCTGTAGTGTTATGGAATCATGTGATTAGGTTATGTCCAACTGTGTCACCAAAGCAGCCTCATTTCAGAGTCAAGATTTACAGCCGTAATCTCCTCCCCAGGGGAGGTAACACATCCACTAGGTCCAGGAGTCAGGTATGGATGTCACTGGGGGTCATGATTCCTTTACAATGTTTGAGGTCAGCATCTAGAGCTGCTGGCCAGATATACTCTTTGCCGAATGTGGGGGAAATGTGTTACTGTTTACCTATCTTGTGCTAAATGCTGTCTTGTGCATTCCAAACTGCAGAATTGCTGTGCTGTGCATAAATTGTATTAAGTGGGGTTGGGCACCCCAAGGAATGAAAGGGGTGGATCAGGGTCTTTTTGGCTCTGAGCCACTGCCAGCTCATTGGGCGAGGCTGCAACAGAGCAGAGGGAGGTGGATCATGGGGGCAGGGAGGGGCCTGGTTCAATCTGTCGTCCCCTCCACAAGCAAGTTTCAACATTTCCTCCTAGGAGTGGTGACACACCTCAGCGTTTTGAGGGGCGCGATACCTTTGATTTCTTAGGTCTGAGAATCACAGAAATGGGGCACTGACGAGGACCTTAGCCTTATCATTTGAAGTGCTTGCCTGTGGTAGGACTGTGTCCCTAGCTGTACAGCACTAGAGATTCCCCTTATGGGGCCCATGGCACAAGTGCTAAACATTTGACAGTTAGCCTTAGCCAGGCATGGTGTTAATCCCAGCACCTAGGCGGGCTGAGGCAGAGGATCACATGTTTGAGCCCGGCCTGGACAGACTGTTGACTTTGTGAGAACTTGTCACAAAATAAGAAAAGGGCTGGGGATGTAGCTCCATGTAAAGGCTTGGATTCAGTTTCCAGGACTGGAAAACAAGGCCCACACTAGCAGAGTGTTGAGCTGTGTGCTCTGCGCCACCTCGGCAGCTCTTCCTCTCAGTCCCCGGGTGGCCAGGTGTGAAGAAGTCATGGCCCCCTCAGCTTTCTCTGAAGAACGCGGCAGCTCAGGGGAGTCCACCCCACTTTCTCCAGCCCTGGCTGTAGCAGAGGCTTCAGGGCTCCATGCAGACTTGTGTGGACACCTGTGCTGTCTGGGCTCTGCACCCCTACACCCGCCTGGGTGCTGAATGTGCGCATCACCCTAGGGCAGGCCCCGGAGTTTTCAGAGCATGGCCGAAGGGGCACATGGGGGCTGTGGGTGGGTGGGTGCGTCCTAGGCCATCAACTCCTGGTTCTGTGGGAAGAGCCTGATCTGAGACACAGTGGAGGCCAGGGCCCCCCAGTGTGGATGAGGTGAGTGTGTGCTGTGCGTGGCTGCAAGTGAAGACCTAGTCTTCCTCTTTGTCCCCCTTCCTTCCGTTCAGTCCCTCTCCTCTCCCGCCATCAACTTTTCTTCCCTCCCTCTGACAACTTTCCATTTTTCTTTCAGGCAACTGATGGCTCGAGAACCACTGGGAAAACTGGGATTTGGAGATTTGGTAGATGGACAGTCAGAGGCTAAGAGTAAATTTTGATGAATGAGGACCATTGGCCATCAGGAAGCCTTTTGCTGAGCCATGGGCCCCTTGAACTCGCCCTGAAGCCACATGAAGGTGCCTCTCTGTGGGTGTGGCCTATAACCAGGGACCTGGCTTGACTTCTGAAGCTCCCAAATCATTTTCATTAATTGCCATTCTTTTTAAATTCTCATTTTCCCACAAGGAAGTGTGTAATCTGTCAATCCGCATGCAGCACAGGGTCCCTGGGAGGCATTCAGCAGTGGGGAAGAGCTCTGGAGTGGTGTCCTGCCTAGGGCACCTCCACACTGTGCTGCTGTGAGCAGCTTTCCCAGGGGCCTGCTCAGCATGCGGATTTCAGTCTCTTACAGAGATCGTCAGAGGATAACCGATCCCCAGCAGTACAGATTTCAGTCTCTTACACACACAGATCGTCAGAGGATAACCGATCCCCAGCAGTACAGATTTCAGTCTCTTACACACACAGATCGTCAGAGGATAACCGATCCCTAGCAGAACACTTCCTATTTTATATGCAGTTATGCATGCCAGTCTGGGTTTGTTTGTTTTGTTTTTCCTTTTTCTTTACAGATCTAGAATATAAAATAAGAAGTGAGAAATTATTTGGTTTTTGACCTACTGGGCTCTTTTCTTTTTCCCCCATATTAGGGATTGAATCCTTGGATGCTTTACCACTAAGCTGCATCCCATCCCTTTTTATTTTGAGACAGGGTCCCACTCTGTAGTTCAGGCTGTTCTTGAACTCACTTGTAGCCCAGCCTGGCCTTGACCTTGCAGTGATCCTCCTGCCTCAGCCTCTCCAGTGCTAGAATTGCAGGCATGCACCACCATGCCTGGCTTGATTATTTTTTTTAATGCCTAGCACCAAGTAGCTTTATAATCAAAGGTCATTTTCTGATTCATATCAGGCTATATTTATAAAACTAGACATTTAGTTTCAATAACTCATTTTCATACCTCTGAAGGCTAGAATATTGAGTATAGTTCCACCCATGTTGTCTTCTAGGTTTTTATGCTGTAATAGCACCCAGTCTTAGCTCCCAGCCAGCACTGGCTCAGGGCCCCTGTGTGCAGGGGCGTCGTCTGGTAGCATCGTGTTCAGTAAGCAAGCCTCTTCAGTCCAGGCAGGCTTACGAGTTGCTTGTGGAGTTTAAACATTATAGCTGTCTGTTGGCCAGGCAGAATATTGCAGGTTGGTTTGCTCTGTCTCAGGATTCAAAGCCACAAGCAGAGATTTGGGTCTGTGTGGCCTCTGATTTGTCCTGCTTCCTGGCGCTATTGGAATGGGATGTCCCACAGGCCGCTTTACATGGCTCTCAACACAAAAAGAGGAGATACTTACTCCACATAGGAAATCTGTGTTTCACATAGACAATTCTGAGACTGCATACTAGGGTCGAAAAATTAGAAATCCATTATGGATGATGAGAACCCGCTATATCGAACTGGTGGCTTTTCTGGTGTAAAAGTAGCCCAATACAGAAATAGGTATAGGTGTCTGTGAGTGTGCACAGAAATGTCCCCAGCCTCGTGTGCCCAGGGCCTGGGAGCTGTGATGGCCAGCCTCGGACTCTGGGTTCTCATACTATTCTTTAACAGAAGGAACTGGGTCCTGGCTGAAGCCAGGGCCAGCAAAAGGACAAAGGACGGGATTGGGGAAGGGACATAGGAGGCAACAGAGCTCCTGGTGGCCAAAGCCAAGACAGAGCAAAAAGGTGATGGCTGAAATATTGTGGCCCACTGCACACATTGGTATCCATGGGCCCATGTGGGTAGAAGTCACTGGTAAGTGGTCATAGGGGAAGGGACAGCTCTTCCTTACTAGCTAGGGGTGTGGCTGGTGTAGAAGAGATGCTAGGCACCGTGTCTGACAGTGCAGTCATAATGGCTGCAGATGAGAGCCATCAGTGGGCCCTGAAGCGAGTGGCAAAGTATCATGCAAAATGACTGAAGAAACCTCCACTCAGGCGCTTGGCGATCACAAGGGAATGACAGTGGCATGCAGGGGGGATCACTTTAGCCATGTAGTCATCAACAGGGATGCAGTCCACTTTCAGTCCCCCCCCCCTTGGTCTGGCTTACAACACTTTGGGAGGGGAGCTGGGGCCACATGGAAGAACAGCCCAGGGCTGTCTTGGTACACTTAATCCTCAGCCCCAGCACCCCAGCCCTCTGCCGGCCTTGTCCACCTTCCTCCAGGAGCAGGTCGATTCCTCTGTGAAGTCTCCTGTGCTCGTTTGCTGTTGCTGCACTGGCTACTGCAAAGTCAGTGGCTTCAGGCAGCACAGACGTGTCTTTTTCTAGAATTCAGACATCTAATGGTGCAGGGGTCTTGTCCCTACAGAAGGCTCTGGGAGAATCCATTGCCTCATCACCAGCTTCTAGAGGCTGAGCACATTCCTCAATGGTGATCCTTCCTCCAGACACAGCATTGTTTCTGGGGCGGCTTGACCCACACATACAGCCAGAATCCAGAGGGGACACCAGGCCCAGCTGGAGGGCAGTATTACCAGACATTTGCCCATGGTTGCCAGTGTCGAGCATCAAGGTCACAGAGGACAGGGCCTGTGACAGCCAAGCAGATAAGGACATAGGACTTGGCGCCCTGTGGGTCCTGGCAAGGAAAGGACACCGGGACAGGCTCAGATGATGAGCCTACAGGTCAGCAGCCAGTGTGATGCCAGGTCCACCTGCTTTGACACTCGGAGGTTATGTCTGGGTCACCAAGGGAGCCAGACACAGCCTGTTCCACCTGTGCAGTTTTTGGAATTTCAGATTATTTTGAAATAAAGTTTTCATATGACACTGTAAATCCTGTATCTTCTCTTTTTGGTACTGGGAATCAAACTCACAACCTCTCACTTGCCAGGCAGGCACTGTACCACTGAGCTATATCCCTGGCTCTCATCTGACACTTTGTAGTTGAGCTTCATGTGTGTAGGATTAAGTCCTCATTTGGAAATGAATTGTGGGCAGAGATGCTGTCCCTGGTGGGGTAGGAGGGACACAAAGCAGTCTAGTGTAGGTCCTGGTTTGATTGGCCCACCTCAGAGGGGCTCCATGGTGCTGATGTTCTGGGTCTGGTTTGCAAATTTTGGGATGCCTACGAACCCTGGTGGCCTGGCTCCCTGCCAGAGCTTCCCATAAAGTATTTTTGGTAGACAGTCATTTATCATAAATGCATTTCTCCTGTGACCCTGTTGTCATAAGCCAGTGAGATCATTAACAGGAACAGGCCCAGTGGTGCACACCTGTAATCCCAGCACTACGAGGATCACAAATTCAAGTGCAGCCAAGGCAATTTAGCAACTTAACAAGACCCTGTCTCAAAAAATAAAAAGGACTATGGATGTAGTCGGTGCAAAGTCCCTGGGTTCAACCACCAGTACCACAAAAACTGAGCCACCATGGAGGAGAAAGAGGAAGGGAGAAGAGCAGGAGGTGGAAAGGGGAGGAGAAGGAAAAAGGAGGGAGGAAGAAGAAAAAGATTCACCCCTCCTTGGCCTGGCTCATGATGCCCTGCAAGGGAAGCTGGTGTCCTGTCCAGGGACAGCCCAGGGCACCGCAGGCTTGGTGGGCTCGGTCCTCAGCCCCAGTACCCAAACCCCCTGCTGGCCCTATCCACCTTTCCCTGAGAGTAAGTCAGTTTCTCTGTGAAGCCTGTGTTCCTTTACTATTACTGCGCTGACTATTGGAAACAGTGGCTTCAAGCAACACGGATGTGTTTTATTCTGGAACTCAGACATCGTTGTGGGTCCAGGGCTGTGTCCCTGCAGGACACTCTGGGAGGATCTGTTTTCTGGCCTCTGCCAGAGCTCCAATTAGGGCTGAGCACATTCTCCAGTGGTGACAATTCAGCCTCGAGTCAACAGTGTGGCTGCTTCTGGTCTCAGTCTGCCTCTGACTCCTGTGCCTATGTGCCCCCTTGCCAAGCAACCCAGGGTGATTACCCTGTCTCGATCCTAGCCCCAACTGTGAGCCTCTGTCACTAGGTGTGTCCCATGTTGCAGAGATTAGGACCTGAATGTCGATGGCCATATTATTCTGCCCCGTGTCCCCCACAATGACTCTCAGCTACCCCTGGATGTGGCACGTCAACAATGATGGGTCCCCCTGGTCTAGGGGACCGGTTGCAGCTCTGTCCATGCTGCAGGGACACGGAGCTCTCTGGTACCTGGTTTCTCGTAATTGTCAGCAGAAGCTAGGTTGCAGAGTTTTCTCAGGGCCAAATTTTAAGCCCTGGATTTTTCTGAAATCATTGGTGCTGCTGCTTGCAGGCACATGATAAAAAGAACAATTATGTACAGAACAGACAGAACAGGAAATTTCAGCAGTCCACAGCACATGTGGCACGGTCTTCATTCTGGGAAAGTCTTTGTCTACCCAGACATGTTCAGATTTGTGCAGACAGGGAGACGCGCTTGGAATGCAGCAGAGCGCACGTCGGGGACATGGGGACAGAATGAGTGAGGGAATGTGGCTTGCTTGCTCTTACGTGTTTATTAATGCATTTTATAACCATCATGCATCATTTTAATAGAAATAATAAAACCATTAGTTTAAAACTCACTGTGACAGGCCTGGGATTTAGCTCAGTGGCATAAGTGCCTGCCTGGCAAGCACAAGGTTGTGAGTATGATTCCCTATACCAAAACAAAATCAAAAACCCACTGTGACAAGGTATAGTGACACGTGCCTATAGTCTCAGCACTGTATGAGGCTGAAGCAGGAGGATTGAAAGTTTAAGCCCAGCCTGGGCAATTTAGCAATTTAGCCATACCCCAGCAAGGGCTGGGATCTATCAGTGCAAAGACCCTGGTTTCAATCCCCAGAACTGGGTGGAGGTGGCGGTGATGGTGGTTTAAGCTCATGTGATTGTCGTTTATACCCTCCAGAGATCACATGCCTGTGGTCATCTCATTCTGCCAGACGCAGCCCCTCTGCTCATTTCTCCTGGCAGACATGGTGCCCACACAGCACACAGAGCCACGAGGTAGGCCTGCTGCCAAGGCCACTTTCCTGCACACTGGATAGGAGGCCCTAGCTTGTCCTCTCGTCCAGTGGTGGCGCTGGGGAGGCGTTGTGTCCGTCAGCTCACCCCCCAAAAGGAGGCCTCAAACACGGCAGAGGTGTGTGTGTGTCAGATGGACTGGCCACTTAGGGCCTCTTTTCGTCCATGTTTTCCAAATACATGGTAAATGTTTATATTCTAAAAATTTAGTACAGTAAAAGGCACATGGCTATGAATCTCGCTCAGAACCCTCCCCCGTGCTTTGAACATACTTATCCCATCCTGCTTGCCGCTTTCTGAAGCAGTTCTGGAATCCTCTTCCCTGAATGTCTTTAGTTCTACTGTCACGGCTCTTTGATGTCCTGAATCGATTCAATATGCTTTCCTTTCATGCTCATCTTGACTTTAGAGAGGAGCTAGAAATCACACGGTACTGGATCTGATGACTAAGGCAGGGTCATGGTTTTACAAGCCTGCCTTTTCATAGACGACATTCAGCAGCAGTGCCCCTGTTTTTTATCACATCTTATAAAGACGCTTAGGAAAGTGAGCTTCTAGAACTGCTATAAAAAGTGGCAAGACCCCCAGCACTTAAGAGGCTGAGGCAGGAGGATTGTTGCAAGTTCAAAACCAGCATGGGCTACATAGTTCAAAGCCAACCTGAATTACATAGCAAGACCTTGTTTCAAAAAACAAAGAAAAAATGAGAAAGTGGCACAAATGAAGGGATAAATGTGTTTGGAACTTGGGTGGGGAATGTTTTAAGGGGAATTAATGGCTGTGTGTTTTTATTGTACTAAATTTTTAATTTAAACACCATATTTTCTATCACACCTTATATTGATCACACCTGCTTTGTGGTCAACCTAAATCTTCTAGTGAGAGTATTATCTTTATGGGTGAGAAAGGAGGGATTTTATTATTGCAAGAAACATTAAAGAACATTCTAGTAAGCCACTGAGTAAGTGACTTTGTCACAATACCGTGAATCTCTAGTCTTTTCTGGAGGAAGGGGATCAAATTTCACAGATCTGTGCCTTGAGTGCTCTAAAACATGGAGGGCCCTGGAGAGCAGAAATGTGGGTGCCTTGGGAGCAGAAGGCTGGGTGGGTGCATGTTAGCCTGTGCTGTTCCACTGGCCCAGGACAGCACTGCCACCAGCTTCATTTCACTGGGCAGAATGTACATCATGGAACTGCGCCCATGACACTCTCTGAGTATTAGGAACCACTGTGGCCACATTACCTAGGGCTTGGGGTGTGGTGGGTGTTTGCTCGAAGCCCAGAGAGCCTTCTTGCTTGCTCTGAGGGGAGGAATGGGCAGCGTGTGCTCCTGAGACCCAGCTGCTGCCACCAGGCCCAGGACTGCAGGAGAAGAGGCAGCACGGCAGTGGATTCTGAAATAAATGATGACTGAGATTCTGAGGCTGGACCTGCAGGGTCTAGGGTAGAAGTAAAAGATCTGAGAAGAAGTTTTGTCCCTGCATAGCCACAGATAAGTCCTGTGCAGGTCTTTGGCTTCCGGGCATTGTGGTGATTTCTGAACCCGAACAGCAGCTCACTTAGACTGGGTTGGTTGCTCGAAGGAGCCCTTGTACACAGCCAACTGTTTATTCAGACTCTGGACTTTTCCCTGGAACCCTGGCCGGTGCATGCCTGCTCACATTTCTATGGGGCCAGCCCTGAACTTGAGGGCATGTGGTCTCTTTAATGGACACAAGTGTGGCCTTTCCCCTAGAGAAACAAGAGGCCCATAGTCCAGCTGTCCTCTTCCTGGAATAAGACCAGGTCTTCTCCTGGGGCCTTTGCTGGTCTGCAGGACATGGCATGATAGACAGCAATGGACTCATTACATGGAAAGAGCCTCTGGCCTCATCCTTCTAGAACAGGCCTCTCTAGTCAGCCCTTTGCTGCAGCCTTGGCCCCACTGCCTTTCCCTCCTCTGGCAGCCATACCACACCCTCTTCTGGGGCAGAGGCTGCCTCCTGGTCCAGGGGCCCAACCTCCTGACAAGCAGGTGGGGCAGGTGGCTCTGAGATAAGAGGGAGATAAGAACAGCAGTGCCCAGGCAGGGGCCGCTCCTGGAGGCCAAGGTGGTAGGCAGGAGGGAAACACCAAGCCCTAGTCTGGCAGCCTCCTGGGCAGCTACAGGAGAGTCTCCCACTGTGCTTTGAGCCACCTGGCCTGGCCCCTGACCTGTCTGCATTCCCCTCTGTTGGGGCAACCAGTGGACAGCCTCCCTTCTGTTCAGTTCCATCTCAGCTGCCCCCGAATTGTTGCCAGGCACTTCCAGGGGCCCAGAGCAGCGAGCAGAGGAGTGTGCCATGCTGGCCTGTCATCACTGGCTGTGACGGAGAATGAGAAGCTGACAGCAGGCCCTGTGCTGCTCACCCCAGAGCCTCGGAGAAGAAACTTCCTGTTCTGAGACTTAGTGACTTCAGGGCTCCACAGAACCCTTGCTTCCAATCACTTCAAGTCTCGCCAATGGAAGCTTGTTGCTCTGGAGGACCTGCGGGTCCAGAGGTGGCAGTGGGCCTACAAGCTTGGTGTGAGGGTCTGGACAGCATCTGGAAGACATCAGATCGCCTGGATGGGGAGTGTGTTGTGGAGGTGAGGAGGGGACATTCCTGGGGGTGGGAATGGACAGAGAGAGCATCCTTCTCCAAGGCTGCACTCAGGTGACTCCCTGAGAAGGTGGGGAGCAATGACTCTGGGGACTTGGTGGTGGTGTGCAAGGAAGCAGGTCATCTGGGTCAGGGACAGAGCAACCCTCAGAGGATGGAGCTTCCCACTGCCCTGCAG